GCTGCGAGAATATTGCCACACCACAACTAGTCAGCTTCTTCAAGTATAAGGTACGTCGCAGCCACATCCATAATTCGATCTGCGATCTGCCATTCTGTATCTGTTATTTTTTTTATAGAAAATCTTACAAATATCCCTGGGCCATGCGCACAGTCTTGTAATGTGCCAGGCCAGCAATAGCTACATGGAGGCTAACAACTGCAGCACCGAGCTCTTTGTCTTTGGCTCGAATCACTTTGGCCAGCTGGGCACTGGCAATAGCGAGCAGGGATGCGATACAAAGGTGAATCTGCCCGTGCGCCTAGAGACGGGCGGCAGCAGCCTAAGACTGATACACACCAAATTTTTTACCAACGTAAGTGGAGCCAAAGGTGTGCCGCTGAATGTTTTTTTGACCCCGAATTTGTTGTGCAGTTAGCTGTAGACGATCAGGAGCGTTTGTACACTTGGGGCAGCTCGCCGCAGGCATTGCGCCTGGCCAACCAAATCAAACGTCGCGCCAATGCCAAGCAAAAGCTGGAGGAGAACCATCAGCGTGAGCTGTTGAGCAGGCAACTGGAGGCTACATTGCTGCCAAGACCCAGCAGCAGCACCACCAGTACATTGGTGGAGCCAACCACCTCGTATGCGGCCGTGGTGGCTGGTGCCACACCAAAGGCGACAGCCAACGAGACCAAAGATTCTCAGGTGGATAATGAGGCGGCGCCATCAGATGGCAGCGAAAATCTTGGCTCAAAGTGTGAGTTGGAAAAGGAAAAACCTACGGCACCGCCTCCTGCCACCGAACCTGATCCCACGGAGCATATGACGCCGCATCTGGTGGATACCAGTGAGGTGGCAGGACAAACGCTGCAGGTGTGTACTGACCGAGGGTCTGTTTTGTCATAGTAATCATGGGGATTAATGCTTTTCTGTTTGCAGATCTCCAGTGGGCTGTTTCATTTCGCCTTGATCTCGTCCACGTGCACGCTCTATACGTGGGGCAAGAATCTTGAACATCAGCTGGGCACTGAGGACAAGGATCGTCGTGCTGTGCTGAAGCCCTCGCCCATCGACAGCATTGAGCGCCCCATGTACGTGGATTGCGGTGCGGACTTCACTCTGGTCATGACCACCGATCACATTGTGCGCGCCTTTGGCGGCAACTCCAATGGGCAGTGTGGCAGAGATCAGGGAGCCAGCCTGGAGCGTATGCGACAGCGTGTTGTGTGCCTGCCAACGACAAAGCGACTGATGCGCTTCGAGAGCCAATGCGTGGAGGCGCCCGTGGAGATTAATCTGCCGCGGCCACGCATTCGTCTGGATCAGGATCCGGTTAGATACTTGAAGGTCATGCCGCCATATCAGCCACACTTCTTGCAGCCAGCGAACATCAGCTTCGATCAGCGCTACTCCATAGGCACGCCCATCTACAAGAGCAGCACGGAGCAGGCGGCCACTGGTCAGGATTCGGATGATCTGCTAAGCAGTCTGGAGAATCTGAGCCAGAACGATGCCAGCTTCTCGTATGCCGCACCGCCACTGCTGCAAACCGATGCCAACAGCTCACTGGACTTGGATTATTCGCCCGAGGAGCAGAGCTACGCTCCGCTGGCGGAACAAATGCCGGCGGGCATGACAAGCAATGCAGCGGCTCTGCTGGGCGGCGATGACGATGCCAGCACGTTTACGGCGAGTTCGGTGGGCACGCTGGGCGGTACGGCACTGCAGCAGCTGCGACATTATATACACTACTGCCTGTATGCCTTCCACGGGCTGTATAACCCCGACAAGATCGGGGAGTGTGCGCGTGCGCATCGGAACGAGTATCGCATTAGGATCTGCATGCTGAACTTTAGGTTTGTTGAGGCCTTCCGGCTGTGCCTGCACAGCTGCGACAGTGCACAGCGCACCCTGAAGCTGTTCGAGTACTTCAGCAAGGACACGGGCTACGTGCCGCTGCGGCGATGCGATCTCAAGCATCTTATCTATCACATGTGCTTGCACTTCCTGGAGCGCAAGTTTGATATGCTCGAGTGCGAGCGTTACTTTATGGCCGATCTCGACTACTATCTGCTGGAGCTGGCCTACGTGTTCTACTTCAACAACAATAACTCGACGCTGGAGCAGAATCTCAATCAGAAGTTCAAGCAGCTGATTGCGGCGGCGGCAGACAACAATCCAGCGGTGCCCATATCCGGGCAGCAGCATCAGCTGCAGGATACGGATGTCATATTCGATAGCTTTACGGTGAAGTTCAAGACGATTCTGTGCCAGCGTCTGCTCAGCCACTCGGACTGTGAGACGTCGACTGGCAATTAGCATTGGCCTCCTGCTGCTCCTACTCTGACTGAGTGTGGCATCTGTTTCGTCGTGTTTTAGGTTCTTTGTTTGTTGTGCAACTTCATACACACCCACACTTATCCCCCCTCTACTCCATAAATGTTTACGCGTAATTATTATACCACATAATTGTTGTTTGCGGTTATTTATATACAGAATCATCATCAAAACAAAATCAAATGCTTTTTACAGGCGCCTGTTATTTAAACAAAACAAAAACAAATTAATTAGGACAAACAAATTGTTTAAAGAATCGAATTTTTTGTAATGCTTTGTTTGCAATTGGCTTCGCCCCGTTTTTATTTGTGTTTAATCAATAAATTATTAAAACAAAACAAAAAGAAATTCTCCTCCCCAACAGCGACAGCTCGCGGCTGGCTTAATTTTATTCGATATTCAGCTTGTGATTTGCAATTATTTAATAAAAAACAAACAAAAAAAGTAGTTTTAAAATAATTATATACACACATACATATATATGATTAACAATAAAAAAATACGTTTATATACAAGTAAAAAAGAAATTCTACAGCTTAAGCTTTATGTTGTCCGTGGTCCAGCGCTTGCTCTGAAGCGCCTTCAGCGCATTCTCACAGTAGAACTGCTCCTCGGAGCGTTCGGGCAGCGTTTCCCTAAGCTGCTTCAGTTCCTGCTGCTGCTTGAGCCCCGCCATGGCATCTATCACGGCCTTGATGCACTTCACCTTCTGCGCCAGGGCCAACTTTTCGCCGCTGTTGCCCATCTTGGAGAGGAACAGCTGCAGCACGGTGGACGGCGCGTGCAGCTCGTACAGCCGCACCACCGCCAGCGTCAGGTCAAAGCTAATGTGAAACTGCTTGGACTTAAGGGGATGCCACGTGGGCACACGCTCGAAGATGCACTCCAAGTCGGCGTACGCCTGTGCCTGGGCTCGCTCGTTCAGCGCAGTCCATTCGTATTGGGCCGGCGAGATTTGTTGGTCGGCTGCAAAGCGTTGCGGGGATATGGGCTTCAGCATGTCCTGTTCCTTCCAATTGTTATTCTGCTGACAGCACACGTAGAGCAGCTCGATGGGCGTGGGCTGATCGCCCAGCAGCTTGCTGGCCGAACTCTCTTTTTCCATTAAAAGTTGCATCTTGAGTGCGGCGTGGAAGACCTGCTCGTAGAGTGGAATAATGCCGACACCTGCACTGGCATACGCATCGACCAGGCGCTGCAGATGTTGCTTTCGCGTATTGGCGTCCTCGCTGGACAGTGCCGCTTGGAACTGTTTGAGAGCTGCCTCCTGGTGGCGTCCAAAGCGTTGCAGCAGATCAATGTGGCTGCTCACGTCTCCACTTTCGCGCAAGTAGCTGAGATACTGCTCCAGGGCCTTTGGTCGCTGCTTCAGAATGCCGTGGAATTGCGCCGCGTTCAATGTGCGCTTGAGGAAGAGCAGCACAGTGACTACGGCATGGCCTCCACCGTTGCAGAGCAGCGTATCCAACAGCTGCTGCTTCTCGTGCAGCGACCTGAACATCTCCAATGGAGCAGTCTTGCCCTGCAGCAACTTTTGCGCCGTCACCTCCAAATCGGGACTGTATAGAGTGCTCTGGATCTGTCGACGCAACAGCTTCAGCTCCTCCTCGGGGGAGACACCCTTATGGATGACACGCTCGTCTAGGGTTTGCTCTTGAAGTACCAGCTTTAGCGCCTCCTCACTGAGAATGGCTTTGATAGAGAGATGGTTCAAGGCGGGGCTGTTTTCAAAACTGGCCTCCGAAATGGAATCGTCGCTAAAGATTCCATTGTTCTCCCACTGGTTGCTGGGAAGCTCTGTGCTGACAATGTCCACCTCGTCCTCATCGTCAAAGCTGAAGGCGGCACGCGAGGATCGGTTCCAATAGCTCTCGCTGTCGAATTGTATGTCCATTTTTATCTTGCTTTTTGTTTTGTTTTGATTATCTCAGCATATAAGCTTTCCGATAGTCTAGGGTTGTCAAAGCTTTGAAAGAGATTATCGATTACAATCGATACCCATGCTGCAGGATATCTGATAAATCTGATATAAACTGCAAAATGACAACATTGCGACCTTTCACCTTCGACGATCTTTTCAAGTTCAACAATGTCAACTTGGACCCACTCACGGAAACGTACGGAATGTCCTTCTACACGCAATACTTGGCAAAGTGGCCTGAGTACTTTCAGCTGGCCGAGTCGCCCAGTGGCCAAATAATGGGTTACATTATGGGCAAAGTGGAGGGACGCCAGCACAACTGGCATGGACATGTGACCGCTCTAACTGTTTCGCCCGACTACAGGCGCCTCGGCCTGGCGGCGCTGCTCATGAAATTCCTCGAGGACGTATCGGAAAAGAAGCGCGCTTACTTTGTGGATTTGTTTGTGCGCAAGAGCAACCAGGTGGCCATTAATATGTACACGAATCTCGGCTACATCATCTACCGCACCATACTCGACTACTACGCGGGCGATGAGGACGAGGATGCACTCGATATGCGCAAGGCATTGTCCAGAGACACTAAAAAAAAATCCATCATACCATACACGCAACCTGTACGCATGGAGGACTTACACGAGGCAGATATGCAATGATCTGAGCTGAATCAGCTCAATGATTAGTGCCGGCAATTAGATGTACATTTAGTTAGAGATATCTTAATTAATTGTCTATAATCTAATGATAATTTAAAGACATCTTTTACTCTGAACTGGACTTTATTTTTGTATTTTCCTGATTGCTTTCCGCTTTTGGTAGTTTCTGGGCTCTGTAAATATTTACAATTAATTAATGGACTCTTCTTTTCGCACCTAAGAACTCATCTACTTACATTACGCGCAGCTCTTCCAGAGTGGGAACACTCAAACGCGTGGGCAAGCTCTCCTCATTCTGGCCCTGCTGCATCTCCTGTGAATGCTTCTTCAGCTTGTGGGACCGACAATTGGCATTGCAGGCAAAGGTTTTCCCACAATAGTTGCAGACGTAGGGTCTCAGGCCCGTGTGGCCAAGCAAGTGAGTCTTCAGAGTCTTGGAGCGTTTGAAGAGGGCACCGCAAACATCACACTTCAAGTTGCGCTCCTCTTTGTGCACCACCTTGTGCATGTTAAAGGTGCGTCGGGTTTGCAGCTTCTTGCCGCATATGGTGCACTCGAAGCTGGGATCCTCGTGGATCTGACGGTGAACCTTCAGACGAGCGCGATTCTTGAAGCCCGCCTTGCACACGGGACACTCGAACGGACGACTGTCCGTGTGGACTAGCTTGTGTTCATTTAATGCTGTTATCGTCTTTAGCTGCTTGCCACAACTGTCGCAAATGTATGGCTTTACGTTCTCGTGCATACCCTTCTTGTGCAGCCGCAGCGCCGATACCGACGAGAGCGTCTTGTGGCAGAGGTCACAGCTCGTGTTCCTGTCCACCTTCACTTTTAGCACGATTTTCTGGCACTCTTCCTGTTCGATGTGCTTCTCGTAGGATGCACGATTCCGATAGGTCTTTCCACATCTCTCGCAGTCCATGCGACAGCGTTTGCCGGGTGGTTCCACCCGGCAAGGTTTACTTTTCTCCTCGCCGTTGTCTGTATTTGCTGGTGGCTTGATCGCGGGCACCGCGGGACTAGGTTGAAATTCTTGATCATCACAGTTGCCAGACACATCCGGCTTGATATCCTCATCGCTGGAAACGCCTGGACACACATCAATCTGCATCTGTTGTTGGTTAATGGCTTTTGGTTCAGCAATTAGAACATCTTCTGCCTCCAAATCATTTGCGTTGACATCCATATGGTTCACCATTAGCTTATCGCCTTGCAAGATGGGACCTAAATCTACAAATTCCTGATTTGAGACGCCACACGGAGTGTTGTGGGAGGGAGCTTCTTCCTGTAGTCTCTCCGCCTGCTCGGCGGACGTGTCTGCCTCTTGGATTACTGGTTCATCTAATACTTTTACGTGGCTGTGATAAATGAGATCTTCAGTTTCAAAATCTATGGACTTGACAGGACTGGGTTCGGTCTCTGGCACTGGCATCGGCTTAATGATGTGCGTCCAGTCGTCCGCGCAGAGTCCATACTGCTGTCTGAGAGTTGGTACATCAAGCTGTTTGTTCTGGTCCGTCTCTGTGCGGCGCAAGACTTCAAAGATGGCCTGCACCTTGGTAACATGCTCCGCAAAATCGATTAGTTCACTGATCAGCGTGTAGCACTCTGTGCAAAGGACGCTGCTTAGCTCATCCTCCAGACGCATCTACGGAGCAAAGTGTCGCATTAGTTCGGGCTAAAGCCAGTGAGATAAACTTACATGCACCTCGAAGTACCTGCGGATGGCCATAATCATGACATTGTCCCAGGTTCCCTGACCCTTCTCGTTCGTATGAACTTTCACATTGCCGCGCACGTCGTCCTTGGCACACAGACGGCACCAGTTGAGCCAGTGGCTGTGTGTGGTTCTTCGACTGCTCTCCGCCATCATATCATCAAAGTGAACACATCAGATAAGGCTAATCCAGCTTCCGTATCTTCAAAAGATTGCTTTTGTTTACTTTTTCTTCAATTAAATTAACATATTAGTTTAGCGTGACCATCTTACGCAAAGGTAAAGTACCGCAAAAAAGAGCCAATAACGCTTTAGTTTGGTTGGTATTTTTAGTAGAGCTTTTGTTGTGTATAAAATATAAACTCGTATAGATTTTAATTTATAGATCAATAAAACATGCAAAATCAATTGTTTGTCAATCGGAAACTAGTTCTAGTTCTTCTGCAGCTGCCTCTGCAGCCTCCTCGGCTTCCTCTGCCTCCTTTTTGGACTTTGCCATTTCCCGTGTTCTGCAAAAAATAAGTCGGAAATCAGTAAAGTTTTGAACAATTCGAATGTCACAGTTCATCATTACATGGCTCTGAGCTCATCCAGCGTTGGAACGGGTATGCGTGAAGATTCCTTTTCATCCTCCATCGAAGCCTCGTGAGGATGCTTTTTAAGCTTGTGGGCGCGACAATTTGTATTGCTGGCAAATGCCTTTCCACAGTACTTGCACACATACGGTCGCAGTCCCGTGTGGCTCAAAAGATGTATCTTCATGGCCGTCGAGTTCTTAGAGCCGAGTCCGCAAATATCACACTTGAAGCGGCGCTCATCCGTATGCACATACTTGTGCTTGTTCAATATTGCTCGTGTCTGTAGTTTCTTTCCGCACACATTGCACTCAAAGCTAGGTGCACCATGGGTTTGCAAGTGGACCTGTCAAGGGCAACAAATATCCTAGTATCATGTCATCATCCATGTCATGGAAGATTGTGTTTTACTTACCCGAAGTCGGGCTTTGTTTTTGAACGCCGCATTGCAGACGTGACAAATGCAGGGGCAGTAGTCGGTGTGTACAAGCTTGTGTTCGACGAGAGCCGTGAATGTGGTCAGTCCCTTTCCGCAAACATCGCAAATGAAGCGTTTTAGGTTACAGTGCACCTCCAGCTTGTGACGCCGCAAGGACGCCGCCGAGATAAGCGTCTTTTGGCAAATTTTACAGGTGTGGCTCCCAGCAGCTGGAGGACTATTATTTTCCATCTCTTGCTGTTCTTCAGGCTGAGTATCACAGCTCTCGTAGCCAGGTAGGGGAGAATCTTCACTTGGCTCGACTTTAATGAAGCGGTTCGGTTCATCGTGTGCAGCATGTTTCGCCAATTGAGTGGGAGTTTTTGTATTGTTCGGTTTCTTGACAGAAGGACTACCTTTGGGACGACCTCGTCTTCTTTTCACGGGGGACACACTGGGATGTTCATTATCTGTATCAATCAGCGCTTCTATGGGCAGCTTCTCGTCGGGCATCTCACAGACCGGACTTTCTGCTGCAAGACACTCTTCAGTTCCATCCTCATCGTAGACGTCGCATTCTGTTTTGTAGTCGACGGACAATCCGTACTGGCGACGCAGCTCAAACACATTGAGCGTCTCAGTTTTCTCCGTGTGACGCAATAGCTCAAAGATTGCCTGCACCTTGTTGACATTTTCGGAGAAGCTAATCAGCTGGCCAACCATGGAGAAGCATTCGTTGCACAGCATGCTGCCCAGTTCCGGCTCCTCCAGCGTCATCTAGAGCTGGAAATTAGCCGGAGATACCTTGCTTGCACGAAGCTACTCACCTCCACATCAAAGCATTTGCTAATTATCCTTACAACTTCCTCATCGTCTGAATTGTCTCGCACCTTGATCTCGGCGTCGTTCTTGGCGCAAAGGCGGCACCAGTACAGCCACTGTTTCCTGGAAGCATATTCGGTCCCAAAGTCGCCCATGATTATTCAAATCTACTTGCTGTGCTAGTCTGACAGCAATAAATGTTATTCCATGTAATTTCAATTCACTTACATCTTGTCGGCGCTTTGTAGAGCTGTAAATCCATCGATACTATCGAATTTTCCATCTGAATAGTGGCATCACTATGCAACTGTACAGCTGAAGTGGCGCTGTGCCAGTGTGACCAGCGTAAGTGTTAACATTTGTATTGTTTAATATACTTTACTGTTTTTAAACTCGTTTTTACAATTAAACTAAACTAAATATCCTATGTATAACTAACTGATCTGTCTATAGAGGCAGCTTCTAAAATAGCTTTCATTATCTTATCCTTGGCAAACTCGGACGCATCACTACTCAATTGTCGCAGTCGATCGGCCACAAAGTCTCCAAAAATCTGCGAAGAATCCTTTTGGTTGTTCACTGCGTTGGCCACAGCCTTGTTGATCATATCCTCATCAATAGTAGTATCGGTGGCAGCTACTACCGTTTCGTCCTCTTCTTCGGGGTTATGCTCTGGTCCCGTCAAAGGACATGTGGAGAACATAACCTGCTCAGGCTCGTATAGGGCCAGATTTTGGAGTATCTGCTCGTAGTCAATTGGCTGCGACTTTTCATCCTCTTTCACTTTGCGAATTTTTTCGCGCTTCACAGTGGGCGGCTTCGATCTAACTTTGGGACTGCTGATGTTGCTGGTGCAAATTGAAATCTCGATCGCATCTTCAGCGTCGGCCTAGGTGTGCATATTTTCAAGTTAATACAATGCGTGAGAGACGAGACGGAGGCAGATATAATGCTCACCAAATGGGCAGCTGGCTTGACTTCAATGACAGGCTCGGAGTTCCTCTTCCTATGCTTCATCGTCCGGGCATGGGCGCGCAAGTCGCATATTTTGGTATTCACGCCACACTTGCAGAATCGGCAGTGCGCACGATAAGAGTCTTCTGGGTCCCGGCGCAACCACGGCCGGAACTCGGGCATTTGCAGCCAGGCGTCACGTAGCTTCTGCTTGTATATTTTCATTGTTTGGTTCAAAAATAAACACTAGCAGCCGAAAAAAACAACAAAACCATGCAACAAATTAATACAATTAGGGATGACAATAACAACCTCGTAGTGTGACCGACCGCGTAACTATCGTTTAAATATATAGAATATAAAAAAAGAATATTGTGAAGCAGGTGTATTTCGGCATATTTCCAAGCGTCAGGTCACACTGCAAACACACGTGAAGTAAACGCTAGCAAAATGAAAACGCCGAAAAATAAAGAAAACGTGAACGGTGAATTAAAACAGGCGAAGAAGCCACCTGTTGTTGCCCCGGAGAGCAAGCTAATTAAAAAGAAACAAAAGAAGCCAAAGCAACCCAAGACAGAGCAGGCCGCAGTGAAAAAGGCCGTGGACAATGAGAGTCCAAAGAAACTGACGGTAGCAGACCTGGCCAAGATCGAGAAGAAGCGAGCCAAAAAGGCTGGTCAGAAGCTAAAAAAGCAGCAACAAAAGTTATTAAAAGCTTCCGCTGCGCCAACAGAGAAAGAGGTCAAGAAAGAAATTATCAAGTCCGAAGAAGCAACTGAAAAAGTGACCCCCAAGACAGCCGCTAAACCAGAGAATAAACAGCTGAAAAAGGACACCAAGAAATCCAAGGCCAACAACAAGGATGAAGGTAATGCGAATTTCACATATCATTCGGTATCTGTTTACCACAGTCTTTCAATTGATTACAAACAGGCGCTGTCAAATGGGAGCGGAATCCTGCCGAGGAAGCTGCTACCATTTTTATTGGCAATCTTCCCATCAACACCAAACGGGTCCAGTTGGCGCGCCTCTTGGTGCCTTATGGCAAAATCAAGTCCGTACGCCTTCGCACAGCTGGTGGCACGCGATTGTTCAAACACAAACAGCGCAAGGGAACGGACTCACTAAACGCCTACGTTGTACTCGAAAGTGTCGAGATAGCTGAGAAGGCGCTGGCATTGAATGGAACAGAATTCAAGGAGAATCACTTGCGTGTAACCCCAGCTGCAAAGTCGGGTGGTGTTGGAGATAATAACTTGCCCCAAGATGCCGATGCCAAGCGCACCATCTTTGTCGGTAGCCTGAAATACTGTAGGTGATCTCTCCATCGCTGAATTTATGGATTATAATTACATGAAATGTTCTTGTTTTAGCGGCCAACGAGGAGAAGCTGCGTGAAATATTCTCCAGCTGTGGCGAAATCGACTATATCCGCTGCTTACAGGAAGGCGAAAAGGGCTGCAAAGGCGTGGCCTATGTGTGCTTCAAGAAGCCCGATGCCGTGGGCCTGGCACTGGAGCTGAACCAGACACTGCTCGACGATAGGCCAATAAATGTGGAACGCTATTTGGTCAAGAAGTTGGGCGCCAAACAGGTGCGCGATGCTGCCGCTTCGAAATCAGGTCCTCCATCGAAATCAAAGACAAAGCAGAACTCAGTGGGTGCCAAGAAGCGTCTAGATAAAAAGCAGCACAAGCAGAACGGCAAGCCAGCAGCGGCGCAGGGAGACAATGCTGCGGCAGGCAGCAAAAAGAAATCAGAGTATCGGGGCGTCAAGGTTGATGGCATCAAAAAGGCCAAGAAGCCTAAGAAGAAGAGCAACGACCAGCTCAATGCGATGGCCAAGAAGATTGCACCAAAGCCGAAAAATTAATGTGAAGCTAGCCTAGGTCTTTAGTTTTAAATTAGTGACAATTTAATTGAAAGGGTTGGACCTTTTCCAGTTATAATTTGACTCAATTCCGAACACAAAACGAACCACCGGAACAATCCCTCAAAAATATTGTACGATTTCTTACAAGACTATTTTTCCACACCCGAAATATAAAATTCATTACACCTTTTGTTCAAAAAATTATCTTGTTCTCATTCCAATTCAATTTTTACGGTATATTTAAGAATACAGGGTACGAATAACACTCTATTCCAAAAAGGGTCATTACATACCATACTCTTGGTTGCCCAGGAACAATTTGTCAAATGCGTTTTATGCTATTCTTTTATTTGACCCTTTTAGATACAACCTCTTTTTATAGACAATACAATCAAAATAAATCCTGAAAACTACCCAATCTTCTGGAACATTGAATGATAATTTGGGTAATATTATTGTATTAGAGCTGAGATTCCTAATCAACTGGTAATATTAAAGAGAAGATACAAATCGACGAAAATTATTTTAGATTTACGGTAAATTTACAGTATATTTTAAAAATGAAAAGGTCTATTGTGGTGTATTTTTTAGGGTCAAGAGGTATACTTTATCGATAAGTCCGCAGTGACACTTGCGAAAACAGCTGTTGAACAGAATTTATACAGAAATTCAAAGTTGTTCGGCAGTTATATTGGTTTTAAATCACTTTATTTACAAATCAAGGTAAGTGGAGATCGAATATTCCTAAAATGGATAGCCGGAACAGTACCCGCACTCATTTGCAGCATGAACATATGCAAAAATTTCAAGTTTCTACGCCTCACTCGATGCTGCATGCGTAACTTTGCCGACACCCGGCCTGGGAAGCCAACTTCCACTCTGGAGAAATTGGCCCACCGAGAGCTGACTCGGGTCCACGGGGCAGAGGTGCTGCCATTTTTGCAAGGTCTGGTCACCAACGATGTGTCCCACTTGCAGCGGCCGGATGGTCCGTCCTCCATATACGCCATGTTCCTGAACAAAGGGGGGAGAGTGCTATACGACACGATCGTATATCGTACAGACAGCCCGGACACCTACCTTCTGGAGTGTGACCGGCAAGTTTCCGAGGAGTTCAGACGCCATTTGCGCACCTTTCGCGTCCGCAAGAAGATCGACATCGACTCGATTGATGATGAGTACGCGCCCTGGGTCCTGTTCAATGGCCACAACGGGGGCGAAAAGCTACAAAATAACAAAGAACTGGAAGTGTTCATCTCATCAGATCCCAGACTAGCAGCGCTGGGCACACGCATTCTGGCTCCCACAGACTTGGGCTTGCAGCAGCTGGTCAGCGGCTTGTGGCGTAATAATGAGCGAAATCTGACACCCCCGTCATCGGAGAGAAACTATAAATTGCTGCGCTACAAGCAGGGCGTTGGCGAGGGCAGTGAGGAGCTGCCGCCGGGCAAGTGTTTTCCCCTGGAGGCGAACGCAGACTTCCTCAACGGCGTCAGTTTCAACAAGGGCTGCTATGTGGGCCAGGAGCTCACCGCCCGCATTCATCACTCGGGTGTGATACGCAAGCGCTATATGCCCATACGTCTGACGGCGCCATTGGGAGCCAACCAGACGGTTCAGTCTGTGGCTGGTGCCAATCTCGGACGCGTCTTTGGGCATGCACATAATCACGGCGTCGCCCTGCTGCGCATTGAGCAGGTGCTCACCGGTGCTCAAGAGCTGGTGGTCGATGGTGAGCGCTGCTTTGCCGAGCGTCCCGACTGGTGGCCCAGCGACCTGCCGAACAAGCGTCGTCAGGCCTTCACAGATTAACCATCGAGCGCTGACTGCGTTTAATAGTTCTTAGTCTTAAGTGTTGCACATTATTTAGTCATTAGTAAAGGTCATGCTCCTTCCTCACTGTAAAAGCTTTCCAGTTTTCTTGTGTTCGTTCGTTCTCTTGCAGTGCGCCATAATGGATGAGGACGACCAGCCCAGCACTAGCAGCGCCAGCGTCAACGTAAACATAGACGAATACATAGACAATGATCTGGACGATGAGGAACTTGTATTGAATGATGAGGCTGCTGAAATCGCACGCCTGCAACTGCCCGAGGAGGATGAGAATCCAAAGGAGGAGCTCGATCCGAAGGAGCGGGATGAGCGCATTGCCAAGATTGACTTTCGCTGCTCTGCCTGCGACATGCACGAACTCGTACACTACTTTGGACGGGAGCCGCCCTTTGCGTTGGGCATCAAATACCTCGAGGATACATTTGTGATGCGCGATCCCTTCCAGCCGCCGCCGCCACGCTGGCAGATGAAGCCCGAGTACTTTATTGCCATCGGCTCCCATTGCAGCAGATGCTCAAAAGTGGTGTGCAAGGATGCTACCTGCAGCTACTACTACACAAAGACCGTTTGCCTGCCCTGTGGCAAGGTCGAGCTAAAGGATTGGCCCGTGGAGGCCCAGTCGCGTTTTCGCAAACAGCTGGCTGCCAACGAAGCCGACCAGGACAAGTAGACGGGCTCTGGGTATTGGGAATTATGCATTTATTAAGGCTAAGATTGGTCTATGGCCTGAAGGTTAGCATTTGTGAAGTGCGGGACGGTGGGGTTAATAACGTCTAATGTTTGTGCTGTAAATTTGAGTGACTAAAAAATAAACAAACAGTTGAATAGACATTGTCGAGCCTAAGAGTTAACCACTACGACCACGCAACTGGAATGCGTTTACTTGTTGGCCAAGATCTCGAATTTCATTCCGTGCTCGTGCTTCTCCAGTTCGCTGATGAGGCTCGTCTTGGAGAAGGCGGCAGCTGGGGCCAGGACACCGCCATTGTTGGGCATCTTGTCGCTCTCTCGCAGGATGGTTAAAGCGGTCGAAAGCAGTGCCACACATGTGGCCCCGTAGCCAGGATTCATGCCCGAGACGCGCACCATCAGTGTCTTTGTGGGTGGCTCGGTGTACTGGTCCGTGCTCTCGGCCAGACGTTCGGACTGGGCCCAGCCAGTTGCCTTGAATGTCATCTTGAAGTAGGTGCGCTCCATGGAGTCCTCGCTGGGACCGGCGCGAGAGGCCAGGCCTCCCGAGAAGATTCTCGGATACTTGAGCAGCAGAGTGCGACCGATTTGGAACTTGGACATCAGGCCAAAGATGCTGGCAAAGAGAACCACAGCAGCGGCAGCTATCCAAGAGGGGAATCCGACGTAGGCGTGCATCTGTACTGGGCGCTTCTTGTCCTGGTCGTAGAGGAAACGCTGCGAGCGCATCACCACCGACCGATCGGAGCCCGGGAAGGGCAGGCAGATCTTGTCTACCTCTGTGGAGCGAAAGATCAACGGACGATGCTTCAGCAGCGGATAGAACTTGGGCAAGCGCTGGGGGAACAGCTTCTGGCGTATACCACGCAGCTCGTCCGAGTGTGCCAGCCCATAGACGGCGCTCTCCCAGGTGCCATAGTTGAGGCCAGCACGGGTGCCGGAATCGCCGCCTTCCTTGACGCCACTCTCCAGAAAAGTTTCCACCGAATTGACAACTCCGTCGAAGTTTTTCTCCACAAAGACGACGCCCATGTCGGCGGGTATGGAGTCAAAGCCGCAGGCACTGACCACATACACACCACGCTCCTTTGCGCGCTGATCGTACTTCAGCTGCATCGTCTCCATGTACTGCGGCTCCCCGCTGACGTCCACGTGATGCGTGCCCGCCTCGATGCAGGCGCTGACCACCTTCTCGCCATGGAAGCGATAGGGACCCGCCGTGTTAACGACAATGCGACACCGCTTGGCCATTTCCAGCAGGGAGGCCTCGTCGCTAATATCGGCTATGAAGATGGGCGTCTGCGACAGATCCTTCTTGGCCTTGGCCCCCATCTGTTTTAGCACCGACTCCAGCTTCTCCCGATTGCGTCCGGCGATGCCCCATCGCAGACCGTTCAGCACGGTGACCGCCTCGAAAACCGTATACTTTCCGGTGAAGCCGCTAGCTCCGAAAATTATAACATCCAATCGTTCCGCTGCCATTTCACAAGCTCTGACGTTTCGACAAAATGCTTTCTACTGGAACAGATCGTTATCAAAATGTCGTCGCTGCCTGCTGCTGCTGGTACTGCTGTCTGCGATTAAATATTTTCGGCATTATATTATGTACTATATACGTTCTGCTGCTCGCTAACCTTTACCACTGACTATTGACTCTGTCAATCTGGATGGGCTAATTGATGTATTTATAGTATATCTGGTCTGGTGTGTACATATCCATCTGAATCGGACAACAGTGATTAAATGCGGCAAATCGAAGTCCAAGTGTTTTCCAATAGCCAATCGTTCATGAGCAAGAGCATGAGAACGAACCAGTGCATTGAGCATTGAATGGCTTTAAATGTGTAGGCGGATCTACACATATACATATACATATGCATGTAGGGCCGCCAAGGCTGCTGCACTCAAACCAGTTTTCCCCCTATTAATTTAGCTTACTGCGCAGTAAAATGTTATTAGCGCCATATGAAATTTTATGAACGCTCAGGTCATTGCCACTACATTTAAAAGGTAAACAGCCAAACTTCAAAGGTTTTTGATACAATTTCAGTTTTTAAAATATTCAAATTTTTTAATTATTACCTTTGGCGTGCATTTACGGAACTAGCTCACAGCATGTATAGTTTCTGGTCACACTAAGCTGCATACAAAAGCTGCCAACTTGTATTCGCCGTTTGGAGCTAGCTGCTGTTAGAAAATCTGAAATGTATTGACCTTATTTAGTTTTGCCTCATTTTATGAGCAATTTAAGAATTTAAGTGTCATTGGGCGTAATACGGCAGTCACATATTTTAAAAATATCATATACTAGGTAATATCACTGCAAAAATATCGATATATATGATTTAGTTTAATATACAACTTCAAAAATAGAATGTCATAAGGAGTACAAACTTATATATATGAGTATTTATAATAAGCAAAATTGATTCTTCAATCTGATTAAATTATTGTTTTAGCGATGAAAGTCTTTGCAAGCTATTAATATCAAATAGAACATACAAATCGAGGAATCTGAACTGTATTATTTGAAGAAGCAATGGTATATTTTAGTATATTTACGAGGCCCTGACGGTATATCTTATCGATAATTCCGCGGTCACTGTGCTCACACTCCTAGCGCGTTGTTTAATTTTTTGTTGGCGTCGGTCGTGCATTTTTTTGTCCACTAAACAATTGTATTTTCGTGTAATTAACTGCGGTTGTCATTTTAAACGATAAAAGGTTAGTTGTGTTACTATTAAATATACAAAATTGAGAAAAGGAGATTTTTGCGAGTGTAGTGGTTTCCGTGCAGAAGTTTTCTTTGTTGCGGTAGGATGTGAAGCTTGGTATAGATAATTTTTGCGCATACAATCCAGGTACCCGGCGGCAGCGGCAGAATGTCTCGTGAGTGTCTAAGTTTGAGCGAAAAAGTTTTACTGTCGCTCGAGGGGTTTAGTGTTTATATCGCCCGCACCCATAGATGTGCACTTTTACTCAAATGCATTAATGTTAATTGCGGGTGCTGCTGCAACAGCAGCCGCCGCGCCGCCATTTTAAAAAACGTTCCCCGTATCTGAGCCTCGAAAGATTGCCTGCCTCTGCTGGTACAGTGGTGGCAAAGCATTAATGCCAATGTCTGCGATTTATCCAGAGAACCATAAAACCCAATGTTGTTCTGTTAATATAATTGGTTTATTTCAATAGATTATAAAAGAGTCATATAAGTTCTTGTCTATTCGAGCTAACAATTACCCACACATGTGCAGTGCCTAATTTTTTGGCGCGCACTGTAACCCGCCTTTTCTTACACACTCACACAAATAAAAAACAGTTGTTTGTTCTGCTTTTTATAGGGAACGGAAGAGGCGGTCCGGTCTGTCTTATGTTTATGTTATATTTTGCTGATCCGATCAGAGCTCGTTGAAGTTAATTAACAATTCGCGATGAAGCAAAGTTTCCACTACTCTCACACGTTCTCTTACATACATGTATGCTCACACACTTATGCTGTTGTTGTTTCTGAGTTTAATCAACTCTTGTCGCATTTACACATACATCTACAGTGACTGACAATAGTGTATGCAAGAATCTAAACATCGAGCGTGCGCCCTAAGGGCCATATGACTTCGAGAGCTCTGTTCCATCTGGTGTAAATATACTTTTGTCCGACACTGTGGTCGAGAACACAAAACGAATATCAAAACAAAAAGAATCATATGAGAGGGCGCGGGCTTGGCGTATAACTGCGCTTCATTGCCCATAATAAATGCATAATGTACGTGCATATGTATGTTGCTATGCTTGTGTACTCACACAGATGATATCTGCCGTTTCTCTATATATGTATGTACTTTTTCTCGCCGGCAGCATCTTGCGCCGTTCGCAATTTTGTTGTGTGCCGTTTATATCTTTCGCATTGGATTGACGCTTTCTAAAAAGAAAACCCGAATTTGGTTGCTCATTTTTTAGCGCACCCTACCTTTAATTTTCCCCCACGTCCCGTGCAGCTGCACCCCCTCAAGTGTGTGTCATCCACCTTGAATGCAACTAGTTTCGTTACCCTTAACAATTGTATATGCGACTAGAAACGGCGTTGATCTTGAATAATTAAATATGTAGAGATTATTGAAAGTAGACTAAGCTGATGCGACAGGTGTTCAATGTGCAGTTAAACGTAATAATTTACTTGATTTCAGTAAGAATATAAATACTTTTATCATAATTAGGGTATCCAAGCCTCAGTGTTTGTCGTTTCCTTATTTCCATTTATGTAGCATCGAGCTTGTCGTTCAACTGTAGCTCGCTGTGACCAGGGGAAAGGAATCGAGCATTTATTCTTCGTCTCTTTTTAGATATTTTACTTAATCTTCATTCCTTATGCGAGCCAACGCGTTCTTTCTTCTCTACTCTCTGTTGGAATTATATACCCTTACAAGAGCATTACGCACTGGGTGTGCACTGATGTTAAAACTATTATAAAAGCGATGCCATTGAGCTAACGTAGGGTATCGCAAGCTTCGGTTTTCGAATTTTTCCTTATTTAATGTTATTTCAAAACAGTGAAAAAACGCAGGTTTGCTTCTTTTAATGTTGCGTGTTGGCCGGTGTTTGTTTTGGGTTATGTCGCGTTTTGTTTCGAATGCATTTAATGGAACGGAAGCCAGTGAAAAATATTTTGTGGAGAGGGGAATCACTCAGGCAGAACCATAAAAGACTTTTAATCAGCTCTAAGGGAAAACAGCATAGGAAAGGTTATTAGGACTCTGTAAATTGTTTTTGCCTAAACATAGGAGCCTGGCAATTCCCAGTGATAATAATATTCTAATCTGCACCCATCATAAACGACAGCTGTCTCCGTAGGTAGTTGTCCGTTTGCCGATTACCTGCGCTTCCTACTTAAAGACGGGACAGTCTCAGTCCTTACTTAAGTTAAGCTGCAGACGTGAAACTGTCAAGACGCGCCGCGAATCAAACAAGGAAAACGCTAAGCGTATCCCAGATAAGAACGAAATCTTAGCGCTAAGGAAAGTGGTCCAACACTTGGCCCAACTGTGATTGAAAACTACAAACAACAGCAACTGTGGTACGTGGGGTGGGGTGGCGTGTTTTCCGAGCCGGTTATCCGAGTTCGGTTGAGGAATGCTATACGATGTAAACATTACCGCAGTCCCTCGACAGTCCCGCATATCAATTGAAACATTTTTAGTTTTCTTTTCGATTTCGCTGCACTTGAAGTGTGTGTGAGAGAAGACCTACTGCGAGACCTACTAATCGACTCTCCCTTCTTTCCTTGTCCCTTGCAGAGATCGTGCAACACGCCCAAACAAATTCGATGCTAAGCAAAATGGCTCAACCAAACAATGTGAGTGGTGGAGGAGGAACAGGAGGAGGAGTAGCTGCCAGTGGCTCGGGACGTCGATTGCCGCTCACGCTTGGCGCTGGAACTTCTGTAAGCCGTTCCCAACAGGGCGGTGGCAGCCCCCAGAACGGTGGCAAGAAGGCAGAATCATTTGGCGCAGGCCCATTTGTATCGCTCAAAAAAAACAGCGGACAGAGATCCGGGTCAACGAGCTCTTCCTCGAGTGGCTCCACCCCCAAGGAGGACGAGAAGAAGAGCACTAATGGCGTCAGCAAGTCCGCCAACGGAAAAGATAAGACACCGCAGAACGGCAACTCCGCCAAGGAACAGAAGCCCAAGGAAAAGGCCGAAAAACTAGCTGAGAAGAGGGACGACAAGGATGTCCCAGAAAACACCAACGTCAACAGCGAAAAGGAAGCCAAACAGGCCCTTGTAAATACTGCACCAATTGTAAAAGAAAAGACTGTAGAGATTGATCTAACCGTCCCTGAGCCTAATAATGATGTGGTTGTGGTACAAGAAAGTCCAGTGAAAGTGCCCACCACCCCCACTGGCGAGCGAAAATCGTTGCGCAAAGCGGCGGCCAGCCAGCAAAAATCACCGAGCAGCAAGCAGAGCTCCTCGCCGGCTACAAAGAAACAGACAGAAACGGCAGTGGCTGCTCCAGAGCCAGTGGTGGAGACTCCCGGTACACCGCAGGAGGATGTTGAAATGGAGCCACTGACCATGGATGCCTCACCCATACGCAGTGTGACGAGTGCTGTCGGCCATCTCAATGACCAGCCGGCTGCCACATCGACACCAGGACGTCGACTGTTTGGTTTTGGGGGAACCACCAAGCCGCCGAGCAATAAAGTCAACCTGGTTGCTCAGCCATCCAGCCCGGCCCCGATCCGCACTTTTGCACAGATCACTGGTCGGCGCAGCATACGCAACACAACCTCGCTGACACCGTCGAAAGTGGGCAGCTATAGATGCACCAACAATGATCTGGATGCATCAAACTGCACAAATTACAGCATGAATGCTACAGTTGGCTCAGAGATACCCAACAGTTCATCATTCTCCTTCTCGTTCTTTGGGCGCGGACGCAAGCGCGAGCGTACACCGCCCCATCAACTGATGGGATCACAGTCGACCACTGACTTGCCGCTGGAAATGGAAACTTCGCCACAGAAGCGCGCCCGCTTTGATCTCTTCAGCCTGAACTTGGCTTCTCCTTTCTCTTTGCTACGCTCGCGCTTCTCGAAGACCGTCAACATCAGCTCGCCCCAGCGATTGCGTCTGGATCAATCCCCAACCGAAGGAGACGAAAATGGCAAAGTCCAGGACGTTCAGTGCATTGCTGTAGAAATGGATCAACAGCAGCTCAACATCTCTTCGGGCAGTGTTGAGGAGCAGGACAAAAAGGAGGTGACTGTCGGCCAAGAGGCAGGCCTGGAGACGCCTAAGAAGGCCGGAAGTCCAGACAAAGAAATCACTGAGAAGGAAATTAACAATGGCAACGCCGAAGCTGATGGCGAGAATATTTCTTCTGTTGCAGAGGCTGCCGTGGAAGTATCTGCGGGCGAAAACCGTTCGCGCTGCTCAATAATGTAAACGTATGGATGGATGGATGGATGGGTGGATGGACTCAATTATAAACAACTCCCAATCCCCTTACCCTTAGCTGATAAACTTATGTCATATGTCGTAGCATATCCGTCACCCTTTCATGTAGTTTGTGTTTTGACAAAAATCACATGTTAAGAGTGAGCTGCAACCCCACCCCTTTTATGGCCATAGCCATTACGTGATGCGGCCCTGGCTGTTCTCTTCTGGCGGAAGGAAGAGCTAACCCAAGCCAGGCCCAGCACGTGGCCTTCCTGGCGGTGATTCCTCGCTGAATGGCTGAGTTGCAATCTGAAGCGTCTCAGGCATCCACTGACGAATCGCCTGGCACCGAAAACAACACACCACCATCTCGTGTGTACCCACACAATTTGGGTACCAGAAGAAACAAGTATTTAGTTGTAGTGGATAAGCATTCAAAGTTTTATGTTAAATGTACGTAATTTTTCGTTAAATTAAAGGCTTTCTATCAAATAAACACAAGAAAGGATAATATAAGCAAATATTTGCGATAAAATGTAACGCATATTTCTTAAATAAAGTGCATTTTTAATAAAAAAAAAAAACATTTTGGATTAATTTAATTTTCACGAAAATCGGCATTTTCATCATTGAGTGGGATTTTTGCCGGATATGCTGTTTTCAAATTGTAACCAACTATTGAGACGGCTGCAAACCCAAAATAACATGCTCCAGGGCTGATAAAACAAGAACCAGAGTTTGTTCACTAGATCATTGGGGAGCCATGATTTAATCAATTCAGCAGCTGTTGAAAATAGTATCAAAACTCAGAACGAGATAAGTATGCTTTTCGCAAAAACTAATACTATAAAATGATTAATGAAGAAGGTCAAAATATATATTTTAAATCATTCGATGTGTATATTAGTGGTTCACAAAGTTCTTAGTTCGATAATCGATATTTCAGCGACCGTGTTTTGGTAGCCCTCGTCAGTACAGCCGCCCTAACATGCCCAGCCCTGCAAAATAGATCGACGCGCTGCTCGGTTTAAATTGTAAATTTGAATTTGTGCAATAGATGAATAAGAAACTATTAGTGTCTAAAATTTGATTAAAATCAAGCGCGATCGTACATTCAGATCGATTCGTTTGCTGCAAGCTAGAGAGAACAAGCCCGCGAACCGCTATTTTGGAGAAATGGAAAACGGTGATGCGTCTTCGCTGTCCTCCGATCCGCACATTGATTACAAGACTCCAAAGAAGACCAACTCGCTGATCGATAGCGAGCAGTTACTGGATAAGATAAACATCCTAACCACCAAACCAGAGAATCACTCGAACAATGCTAAGGTAAGCAGTGCATTGCTCACGTGCATCCGTGTGTGCGTGCGCCCTGTGTGTGGTTTACAGTTAACGCGTGTGCACACACCGTTAGTTTTGTGTTTAGCAGCCGTTCCCATATGCATTTTCTTTCCTTTTATTTCCAATGCAGCTGCCAACCATCAAAGATTTTGTAATCATCAAGCCGATCAGCCGGGGGGCGTTCGGGAAAGTGTTCCTGGGATACAAAAACAATGACTCGAACAAGCTGTTTGCCATCAAGGTGATGCGCAAGTCGGAGATGATAAACAAGAACATGGTGTCCCAGGTGATAACCGAGCGGAACGCATTGGCCCTCTCTCGGTCGCCGTTCTGCGTGAGTCTCTTCTATTCGCTGCAGTCGCTCTCCTACGTGTACCTGGTCATGGAGTATATGGTGGGCGGTGATCTCAAGTCGCTGCTGGCCATGTATGGCTACTTTGACGAGGCAACCGCTCGCTTCTATGTGGCCGAGATGGCCATGGGGCTGCAGTATCTGCACCAGCATGGCATCGTGCATCGCGACATCAAGCCGGACAACATGCTGCTCTCGTCCACGGGACATGTGAAGTTAACGGACTTTGGCCTGAGTAAAATCGACATGCGACGCGATCTGGAGATGTCCGATCTAATCAACTGTTCGCCAAACCTAAATGCCCGGACACCGGGCCAACTCCTGTCACTTACCTCGCACTTGTCCTTTGGCTCGGAAAAGAAACTGGCTGAATATGGTTCCTCACTGACTGCCAACGGTGGCACGACCATGGGCACAGGGACTTCCAATTTGCTGCAGGCCATCAACAAGCATGGGCAGGCCATGGAGATGTCCGACAGTGAGGGCGATACCTCGCTCACCGATGCCGAAAAGACGAGCGACAGCAAAATCTCTGGCGTCTCGCCGTTCTACTCGGCCGAGGTGAATGAATCGATCACCCATACGTGTACAGCTCTCATCAATGTAAGTATTAGCAGCAGCAGAAGCCAGAATCTCGCTCTTTTAATCTCTGTTCTTTGTTTTATTGTGCAGCCTCAGGACAGCAGCTCCTCGTGCTCCTTTCACACATGCACCTCGGCTGAGCTGAGCAAGTGTTCCCCACCGCTGGACGCCGGTGCAGCGCCAGAGCCAGTGCCTAGCAAGCGGCGGGTGGAATTCGCGCTGGACACGGTTAAATGTCAGGTGAGTAGACCACTTCCCTTGCCCAGTACTCAATTGCAAATGTGCTTGAATCTCTAAAAGGGCTGCAAAATGGCCGAACAGGACAACAATAATGGGGATAGCAATAGCAATGGCAATGGCAAGGCCAAGTTGGAGAGCGCAAACGAGGCCTCGTTTGAGTTTTCCATGGTGCGCAGGCGATCGCTTGACGAGGTTCGTTGTCAATGTCCTACGTCCATGTTTATGTCTTTTTCTCTGTGTCTGTCTGGCTGTGTGTGTGTCTCTGTTTTCGGTTAATCACTGACCATTCCCCTCCAACTCACTCAGTTTTATCTGGCATTCCAACAGCGCAATCGCAACAAAGGGCAGGAGGATTCCGGTGTGTCGAGTCGAAAAGGCGACGACTACTCTGGTTGCCATCTAAATCAGAACAGCGAGAACAGCACTGCCTCCTCAATTGAGAAGAACACGGAGAACCTGAGCCACTCGAAGGAGGACTATAGCTGTTCGGACTACTCGCGCAGCTACAACATGACAAATGGCAATGAGATGAGCGGCATCCACATGAATTCCCCCTTTCGCAATCTCTCGAAACACTTTAAGCGACCCGATTTCCTGCGCGGCATGAAGCGGAAGATCAATCTGGTGAATCGCTCCAACAATATGTCCAGCATGGATGCGGATGGCTCCAGTTCGGGCAATGGCAGCACCAACACTGGCCTCACCCAGGAGATCGAGATACTCAACATTGGCAGCAGTACGCCCAAGAAGCGCAAGGCTCGCTCCTCGCCCATTCGTGGGGTGCTCAAGGTGCGCTCACTGTCTGACGACGAGATGCCCATGCAGCATTTGCTCGGCTCCGAGGCGAACGTGACCAATGTGGTCTTCTCCACGCCCGTGTCCTCGCAGAAGCTGCCACGCCGTGACGGCGGACTGCTCGGCAAGCTGAAGGCCACACGCTTCGCTCTGCCCCTGTCCATAGAGAACAAGAAGCGGGAGAATGCAGCGACTGAGAAATTGTCGGGTGTTCAGTATCACCTGAAGCTGGCCGACGATCCCACAATGTCACCCATAAACCACGGAGCTGGTGTCATGCCAAAGACCCCGAAGAACATGAACATCAATACGCCTTTCCGAACACCGAAGTCGGTGAGGCGGGGAGGTCGCGTCTCCAATGAGCGTATACTGGGCACACCCGACTATCTGGCGCCAGAGCTGCTGCTGAAGCATGGACACGGTCCCGGCGTCGACTGGTGGGCGTTGGGCGTATGCTTCTACGAATTCATGACCGGCATTCCACCCTTCAACGACGAGACGCCCCAGAAAGTATTTGACAACATTCTTAACAAAAGTAATTATTATATTTCCTTATGGAAATCGTACGATTATTTCTATATTATCGATTCTTTTGTAGACATTGAATGGCCCGAAGGCGAAGAAGCCTTGTCCGTCGATGCCATGGAGGCTGTGGAGCTGCTGTTAACCATGGATCCCGCCGAGCGACCCGCCGCCAAAGAAGTACAGCAAATGCGGCACTTTGCGTGCATTGACTGGGAGAACATTGGCAATGCGGAGCCGCCATTTGTGCCCACGCCCGACAATCCCACCGACACAGGCTACTTCGATGCGCGCAACAATCTGCAGCATCTGCAGCTGTCCAATTTTGCTGTGGAAGACTAACTTGACTCCTGCCCTAACCTGAGTCCCGGCTGTCTCTGGTAACCCGCGCATGCTTGTCCCCCTAAATGTTATTTATATTATGTCTGTATAGCAATTTGTGTTCTTTTGTTATCCGTTCGTTGGCCTAGATCTACGTATTTATATATTAATAATTCAATTATGCTCCTCTATAGTGAAGATTCTCCACGATCGTATATGATATTGTAACTACGCTTAAACAAATAGCTTCAAGTATATAAACACCTCGAGAGAGTGATCGTGAACTCATTTTTGGTAGAAAGTATGAATGGGATTTCATCCATCCACTCAGCATTCGCAATGCAAAAATCAATCACTTTATTTGCCCTAAATCTAGATATACATATATGTAATAAAGATAATAAAATCCCATAGAAAATAACACAACTGGCTGTTGGGATCGATAAGTGTTCACGTGGAAATTGGAGAGAGCGCTACGCTGCTGCATTCAGTCGGAAATCAAAGTCCCAGACCTCTGGAATGGTTGTCAGGTAGCTCTGGTCGTAGAATATGCCAATCAGGCGACAAACCAAATGGGGAACAGCACGCGCCTCGGGCAGGCAATGCTCCTTCAGCAGACTTATTGCGTGCACAATCAGGGGCTTGACATCGGCGAACTTCTTGTTGGCCAGCAGCATGGACAGCTCCCGCATGCTGCTCTCATACTCCTCGCAGGGTATGCGTAGCTCACGATTGGCCGGGCACAGCGAGAAGATGACGCAGGCCAGGCAGCGGGTCAGCACTTTTCGCCTGTCAATTTAACAAACGTTTAGAAAATGAAACAGTTGCCAGAAATGGATGTCCCCACCTGTTCGTAATGATCTCCGACCTGAGCCCAATGACGCCCAATAGGCCATCGCCCCATCCTTCGGCCTTTGTGGAGGCAATCTGCAGCTGGCGCGCCAGCATATGAAGCGGCTTCTTCACGTGAGCATTAACCTGCAATATTTGGCAGCCGCGCGAAATGATGGCACCCCAGACGAGGGCCAGACGCGGTTCGGTTACCGGATTCGTCTTCAGGTTGTCCAGCAATTGGCTGAGGTCCTGCAGGAACGTCACCTTGTCGCCATCCGTGGCAATTTCCTCCATCTTGTAGAGAACAAAGACATGCAGCGAAAAGAAGTAGCTGCCCTGCATGATCGGCATCAGTTCGAGCTTCGGCAGCGACATGCTCAACGCCTCAAACAGTCCTTGCCAACTGGGCACATGCCAGGGCGCGCACTCCGTCGATGTGCGGAAATAGCTGTCCACACTGGCCTCCAGCAGACTGTAGATGCTGGCAATGTATGTGTTTAAGTGTCCAATGGCTGGCAGGGCGGAGCACATCACCAGATTACCCGGCGCACACTTCTGCTGCCACAACACCAGCGCCTTAATGTGGAGACTGCAAGGGGGATTAGAGACACGAAGAGAGAGCAGTTAAATGTCACACAACTCACATGGAAACCTCTTGACTCTGCGTCTGTGTGGGAGCCACCAGTTCGAGCATTAGGTTGAGGGCCTCGCGGCGCTGCTCTTCGGGTGTACACTGCTCACTGCAGCTGCTGATGGCTCGATCGATGCTGTTCAACAGCTCCAGAAAAGCATCGGAAAAGGCGCGCTCCCCCTCTTTGGTGGCCAGCAATTTCTTGTGCTTGGCCCCGCAGGCACGCTGCAGCCGTACCATGGAGCGTGTGTACAGCATGCGCTTGGCAGTGCCCAAAACAACAGCATCTTGAGCGGAACGCTCGGGCAGCATGGCACAGGCGAGGCGCAACAGACTAAGGGAACGGAATTGAGTCTATTAATGGGAACAGATCAAGACTTTTGTGGAAGACTCACTCTAAGACAGCACGATCCGCATAGTTACTCTCGGCAGGCAGCTTCAGGACAATCGCTGGCTCCACGCTGGCCACAAACCACTTGAGCAACTGCTCCAGCTCGCTGTACTCGACCAGATGCCAGGGATATTGGATGGCCTCCTCCAGAATTTTGCTCGTATTCGGATGTATGTGAATGTTCGGCTCAAAGGCCATCTTCACGAAAATGCCAAAGAGTCGCGACAGAACAGCCACCGGCTGTGGCATCTGTGCGAACCAGATGCTCCAGTCGATCCGTATGAAGATGTGGCCCAGCATTGCGTGCGACTCGGGTGTAAAGCGCTGCAAGCTCTCGTACAGCAGCTCGATATGCTTGGTGGGTGGCAGGAAGCGTTCCCAAGGCAATTGGGCCAGACCCTCGTGAATGGGGGCCAGCACATGGCCGGCCATGTTGGGCTGTGCAAAGTGGTGCACATACCAGGCGAACACATGCTCGAGGATCATGCTGGACGAGGGCAAGTACTGCAGCACTTGCAGGATGGTGCCCGTGAAGGAGCGAATCATGAGCTTGCTGCTGCTCACCTGCGGCTCGCTCCAAGGCAGCAGAACTTTGTTTTGGCCGGGTGTCAGCTGGCGTATCCAGTGGGCCACGCCACTGGCCGTCTGCTCAGTGTAGGGAATCAGCCAAGGGCCGTATGTCTCCACAATGGATCCAAAAACAATGTCGCTGACTGGAATGTAATAAAATGAGACTGGGATCTTGCTGCAAATCAACGTTGAGGCTTACTCTGATCCGCCAGTAGTTCCTGATAGCTGCAGATAGCCGAGGCCAGCAGCACATGCCCGAAGCAGGTGAACCACAGGATCAACGCCTTGCAATAGTCCTTGTGCTTGGGATACAATCCATGCAGACCGTGGTGCAGCCGTTCCTTCTGGAAGTGCCTGGAAAACAGCAGCAAAGTGTCCGTGGCGGCCTTCAGGGTGAACAGCTTCTGGCGTCGTGCGAAATCCAGCGACAGTTCGTGCACCCGCGGCTCTTGTTGATCCATGGCCAGTTCCTGGCAATTGCAGGTGGCAAAGAGAGCGTTCAGCAGATCGACCAGCACGAGGGGCATCAATTTCTGATCCGAGATGCGATCCAGCACCAGTTGCATTACCTCCCCGTAGTGCTGGGGGAAATCGTAGCAGAAAATGTGCACCAAATGGCGACGAAATTGATCTTGCAGCAGTCTAGAGTCCGGCTGGGACCAGGCCTCCAGCCCCTGCAGCACCAGCAGCAGCAGGCTATTGATCTCGCTCAGCTTCGGCTGATACGCCTCCAGCCAGCTGAGCAAATCGAACTTGGATAAGAGCACAAAGAGGGTTTTGGTGTCGCAGCGCTTCAGATGCGAGTCAATGAGAAACTCGTACATGGGGAGAAAGTGCTCAACGTCCGTTCGCGAGGGCACAAAGACGGCGGCCAGCAGTTCGAGGAGATCGGGACGCTTCAGGGCCAGTTTGAGCACCGGCAATCCCTGGGCATCCTGATCGGCTTGCAGAAAGACCTAAGCGACAATAGAGTGGTTATGGAAATCGTGGAAAAGTCTCTTCGCTGCTGTACTCACGCCCAGCTGCTCCAGCACTTGAAAATAGAGATCACGGGTGGGCTGAAACTGCATCGTCACTTCGTCGAGGCTCTCCACCAAGTGGTAGAATGTGGTGACGCCCAGATATGTCACCCTCCTGCCACTCGGAGCCTGCAGCAGGGCCCCAATACAGAGGCCAAAGTCCTCGATGCATTGAGCAAAGCGATCAACATTCGCGGCCAGCAACAGTGCCTCGAGACTCTTCTCATGCCGATCCCTGTTCAACTGCTGCTTGCGGAATATCTGTTCGTTACGCCGTATATGCTCTGGCCTCAATGTGATCTGAGCGGGTGCTGTGCAGCTCCGATTAAAGAGCAGGGAGCTGCATTCCTTGCGTCGGGTCTCGTCGTACGGTACCATCTGGTACATGGCCCGCACATCCTGCAGGTAGTTGAGGTTCAGCGAGTTTAGCTCCGAGCTCACATAATGATAGTTTCTGCAAGCAACAAGAAATAAGTTCCAATTTAAACGAAACCTTGGCCACAACTCACTTGGCAGTCGAATGAAATATCCCAAGGTGCTTCTTCAGCTGCAACACAATGTCATCATCAACTGGTGGCGCTCGGACTGGTTCGCAGCAAACGTGGGCCGGAATGGGAAGGCTTTTCTCATAGGTACTTAAAAGGCTTTTGATATGCTGAGCCGGCAACTGCCGGGCCTTGGGATGCACCGGATTCCGCGGTGGCCTTTGACTGGCCAAGCGAAACACTTTGCGTCCCCACTGATCGGCCTGATGACGCTGCTCCTTGCGCAGCGTGGCGAGGTACAGGAACTCAGTCCAGTGGTTGACATGGCCGCCAAGCAGCTCCCGCAGCTTCTCGCTGTTGTATTGAGGCGGCAGCTGTTCGGCGTCGCTGGTGAATCGATTGATTTGCGTATCCTCTAGCCAGAGTCCACAGTTTTGCATCAGCTTGCAGCAGCTGCGGTAGAAATGGGCCAGCGAGTCGTCACTGGCAAACTTGAGGGCCAGAGCAGCGTAGAACCCTTCGGCGGATTTCAGCTGTCCCTTGATGGTCTTCATCAGGGGCACATTGTGCTCGTAGAACTTGTCTGAGACCCCAACATTGTGACTAAAATTGAGAGATTCGCCCTCGCTGGGCACTCGCCACAGATAGAGCTCGAAGAACTTCTGACAAACGATGGGAAAGAGCGAATGACTGGTGTCCATGCTGGCCAGCAGCTGAGCGTACTTAAAGACTACCAACTGATTGGGCGGGAAGGCGTTTGTTTTGCTCAGCGACAGAGTTTTCTTGAGTGCCGCCTCCATGGGCTGAACAGAGAGCTGTCGCAGAAGCTCCGGCCAGAGGCGTGTGTCCACCAGCCGGAACTCTATCTCCAGCAGCACCAGATTCAGCCAGCAATTCTGAGGCGAAATGAGAGGTATGCGCGAGACCGAGGACTGCTGGCCAAAAAATGCCTTCAAGGCGGATGACTTGGCGGGTATCTTCCACTCGCTGCAGTCCTGCCAAAGAGGAGTGCGGTTACATATAGGGCCTGTGGATGCTGTTGTCTCTTCATACCTTGTAGAAGTTATAGAAGAATTCCACAGCTTGGGCACGACAGTCGGGAAACTGGTAGGAGATGCACAGCATTCGGTCTAGCAGGTACAACAGATTCGCATTCTGTGACCAGCCTGGCAATGAAGTGAAACAATTCAGCCAAATGTTGAGCAGATTGAGCGGCGAGCAGAGGCCATAGCTGGGAGGCAGAAGAGTGTGAGATTAGCATTCATTACTGCCACACGATACCCACCTGGTATAGGAGATAATCTGATGATGCAGCATGTTATCGAGCAGCTCCAGAATGGGGCCTATCGAATTGGCATAGACCATGTCCTTGGCCAGCTTAAGGTACGTCCTATCCGCATTGAGCAGTGTCAGCAGCAGCCTCTGGAAGCTGTCAAGGCAGAGAGCTATAATCAGAGTCTCACATAAATGGCGCACGTCTTACTTCTCACAGTGGGCCAGCGTCTCGGGTGTCTCCAGAAACAGCGGAACAATCAATTCCAGACAGCGTATGGTCGCCGCATGACGATGATCCAGTAGCAGCTTCTGCAGCAAGTCGAAGCCATGCTGGCAGATCAGCGGTATGGAGTGCCCGTGCAGACTGACGAGCATGCCCACATACAGGGCCAAGGGTCGCTGCTCGGCCACACCCTGCATGATCATATCCATGTTCTCCAGTGCGGGTATGAAGAGCAGCGGCTCTGTGGGATGCAGCAACGTTCGCTTCACCGACTCCACGCCTTGGTCCATCAGATGGAGACGCAGCATGGATATCATGCGCCAGCACCAATTGGTGAACTGCTCCCGACTCGATTGCGTCGAGTCAATGAGCGACGACACCTGACGCACGCTCTCCGAAATGCCCGAGGCACCAATCACCTCCGGGGCGTACTTGTTAAGCGCCTCATTCACCAGATAGGCCATGCGCACGTGAATGTTGTGGGGCAGAAAGAGGCGACCCTCGATATCAAAGCCCCAGTTGAGGTGGCTGATGATTAGGCGCGCCAAATGACTCTCCGACGATTGGTAGTCAAAGTGTAGGAGCCAATTGGAGAGCACCTCGAAGCTGTCCATGCAGGGGCGCCAGGCGTCCAGGGGCAGGGCCTTGAACAAATACGCCGCCTGATCGACCTCTCCGTAACGAACCTTCAGCTGAACAAGGAAGCAGCCGAGGAGATCCTCTTGCATGAGATTGGCCACCATGTCCCGGGCTGTCTTATAGCAGATCTCTCTCGTCGGCCGATGGATGTAGCCCATGTGGAAGATGTGCAGACAAATCGCCTTGATGAGACTCCAATCTTTGGTGCGATTCCGGTCGTTGGCCATCTCAAAGAATGTCTGCAGCAGGTAGTACATGTCCTCGGGCGCCACATCCGCATTGGCCTGATCGAATTTGCTCCAGAAGTCGTCGGCCTGGAAGGCGGCCTCCGCATTGCCAACCAAATCGGTGGACAGATCCGTGGGAAAGCCCACATTCAGATAGTAGAAAAGATGCCAAATGATCTCCGCGTCGAGTGTGCCGAACGGCAGCGTCGAGAAGTACTGCCAAGTGCCCAGATTGCGTGTGCGATAAATGTAGCCGCAGGCTCGTAGAAGCAACGCCTGCAGCTCCACCTGAATCCTTTCGTAAAGCTCTGAGGATTTGCTCAAGTTGTTGTGCCTACAAGTGCGGATCGATTAATTATGGGTAAAATCTTTCAATGAATGAAAATACAACTCACAGGAAGAGCTCATTATAGTCGAAGACGTACTGCAGCGTGTGACGCACCAGGCGACCCAATCGCTTGGCCAGCTGCTTGTATCGCTCGTTGTTGTATGTGAGCATGCCCTCGCCCAGCGTCTTGACCAGTTGGGCAAGAAAAACCACAACCGAGAGCATTTGCTGGCACGTTATCATGTCCGGCTCGATGATGTAGTCATCCAGAAACTTTTCAATTCGCATTGCCGATCTAAAACAGGAGAAGATCATCAAGTAAAGCTCTCACAGGACAGGAGTTCCCTTTATTCTTACGTGAAGATTTTCTCGAACGGCAGTTGGTTTAGCAACGCAATCAGATCACTGTCCTTGAGACCAATGCAGTCGCCTGTGGGTGTATGTGCGTCTTCGCCATCAGAGTCGACCACTGTCCAGCAGTCTGCGGCCCCCGTCGACCCCGACAGCTCGAGGTGCGCTTGAGCGTGACTCTTCAGATACTCATTGCGTCTTTTCACGGGCCTCAAGAGGATCTGCAGCACAGCCATGCAGTGATTCAGTTCCGGCGAGTTCAGGCCCAAGGGCAGCTCGTTCTGCTGACTGCCTCGGCTCGGCAGCCTCATGCCGGGCAGCTGAAGGAATTGGGCTGCCCACGAGCCCACGCCATTGGGGCAACGGAGTATGTTGAACAGCAGAAACCAGTGATCCTCCTTGGTGGCCAGCAGCAGCTGCAGGGCAATCAGCTTGCGCAGCCACGTCTTCAGATCCTTGTCAAAGTTCTGCAAAACCAAAACATTTAGTTGTGTCTCCCAATTTACATTGTCTTTGATTCTTTTTTGATCAAACTTTTACCACATTTGGACTGGACCGCCTGACAAAGCTAAACAGAATGGAGATGGCACCGCGCAGCTTGCCCACAAACTGGAGAGCCACCGCATCCATTTTTGAGTTCAATGAAATGGCTGCTTGGGCGTCTACATGGGGATACGAGAGCAGTTCATTGATCATCTGATCGATCTTCACTTTGGTTATCTTCGCTGTGATCAGATTGTTCGTGTAGGTGTGCGAAACCAGATCGTAGAGGCTCGTAAAGACCGCCTGTGTCAGCTCCAGCTTGATTTGGTCCACTTCTATGGTTCTGTGGAGGACAAGGAATAAAACATCATTAAAAAGTGGAGATCCTCTTGGCATAGCACTCACTCGTAGGTAATGCTCTCCTGCACCACGTTGCCATCGCCGCAAGTGCCGCGAAAGGTGCGGCTCACTGACTTTCGCTCCCAAATCTTCTCCTGAGCCTCCACACAGGCTTTTCGCAGCTTTTGCACATCATGCAGATTCGAGGTTAGTTTGATCTGCAGTTGATAGTATTCCAGGAGCGCAGCATAGAGGGGGTCTGCTTCGCTCGACTCCAGCAGCGAGTTCATGAGGAATTCCAATTCAAACTGCTTGGCCAGCTCCAGATCCGGGCAGTCGTAGATTTGCCGCAGCTGCTCGGCGTCCAGTGGCTTGAGGTTGCTGCGCACTAGGGCAAATCCTGCTGGCTGGCAATCGGGCTGACGAAACACAATCTTTGATGAATGCTCTTCGATCTGGGCATTGGACAGCTTCATGGGCTGGAGATTCGGATATTGCACTATTTTAGCACTGCTTGAAGGTGGTGCACTGGGTGCACTTGGTTCTAGCTGCACCTCCGGTTCCGGTACGGGTTCTGCCTCTGGCTGCGTCGGCACCTCCAATACATCGCTTGAAATGCAGCAATCGTGACTAATGATGCCCTCTGCCCCGCTGCTGCTGCTGCTGGCCAACGCAGCTACGCGCTCAAACTCTTCCAAGAGCGATACATTTTCTGTGGCCCTTTGTTCTGGTGCTGCAGCTACGCTACTTGTTGATAACTCGTCGTCATGTTCTTCTTCCTCTTGCAGGCTTAGTCTCTGCGACTGCTGGATCTCTCGTTGAGGCTTCTTCGTTTTCTGGAATTACCAATCTCTCATTTCATGCTGCACCTTCTGCTCCGTTGCATCCATGTGCTTACCACTTTCTTGGGCTTCACTAGCGTGGCCATTATTATCCTATTCGTTCTTCTGCTCCACCCACTACTTTTGCTTTTGCGTTTTTATTTATGTTGGGGCCAAAAGCGCCGCACAACCAAAAGCAGTGTGACTGACTCTCGGAAATATACCATAATATACCAAGAACTTGATCAAATATACTAAATTACATACCAATATATCATAAATCATGATTGAAGGAACTATTAAACTATTTGTTCTATTTTATAGTAATTTATTCGGAAAATAGATTGAAAGAGTAGCAACAACAAATGAGGTTCGCTAAAATTATTCTTCATAATTCTCGTTTAAATTAAAGCAGCCAAGGCCAAGTCCCAAGCTGAGGTTGTTGACAATTTTGACGGAGTGCAAGGAGGGATATTAAAGCCAATATTATAGCCAATCGCCAATTTAGTCCGAGCAGCTGCAGTGCCAAGGTAGCGGGCCCGGTCACAGTCTTATGTTCAACAGGTGAGCCACTGCCGTTGGGTTGAAAACACATTTCTTCTCTCTTGTATTTTAAAAAGATTTATTTACAAAAGAATATTCAAATGAAGAATTCCTTATACAGAAGAAAAGCTGCATGCAAAAACGGCTTCGAAACTAATTTACGCTCGCTCTTGTTGCACTTGTAAAATTATTAAAGTATGTATAATTATAAGAAGTTCCATCTCGATTGTGTTTTGTTTTCATTTAAAAAGCTTACTCTAATATATTTAATTACGAATTCATTTAAGACTGATCGGGAGGATAGCACAACTGTTCCCAGTGGACATCACACACCGTTCACATTATTCGGTTTAGAAATCAATTCTGTTCAGGTTACAAATGGTTAAACATATGTATATAGAAAAACTAAATGCTGTAAATAAAACAAGCACATAATCAGGGGTTACAGGGATAGGGTGGTAAATGACCCAAAAAATAGTTAAAATAGGTGAACATATTCATAGAGTCATATCTTAATAGAAATAGAGTTGTTTGTATTGCGTTAAGGTGGTTAAAATCATTTCCTTCGTTTATAGTTGATTTTTGTTGAGTAGTGTCCAAATTGGTTTTGTTTAGAATTAGTCTTCAATTATTATTATTACAGGTATTAGATCTTAAAATTTAAAAACATGCATCTATATTTTACATACATTTTCGTGTCAATGTATCATTTGTGTGATTCCAATTGAATTAATTATGCACATACATATTATATTACAGATGCATTTCACAATCTGTCTGTGTATTTTCGTGTGAGCGGGTGTGGGTGCAGGTAAAGGGAACTGTAACGTTAACGGGAAGAAAATGGCGGTCAGAGCGGTGGATTACGGGCAACGTCTGTCTGTCTGTAGCGCACACAGTGCAACATTGAAAATCCAGCATCGATTGCAGCTTATGGCGCTCCTCATTATCATCAATCAATCAAGGACTGGAAGACACGAACCTATTTTATATCATTTCACTTTTGGGTACAGAACGAATTAAGTTGTCAGTTGTGGAGAGATAATGGAATCTGTGTTTCTGTGGGGGGGTTGATTTGTTTTTGTTGTTGTTAACTCTTAAATGATTGCTTGTAGTTGACGGCATCATTGGCCTGAAGATGGTAGATGCTGTAACGCACTGATTAGTAATTGGATTGTGCTTCATCCAAACGGCCTAGTTCCACACCTTCGGCGTTGTATGCTCACCGCCATCAACGGAATTGTTAACGATTTTTGGTTCACCTGCAAAAACAGAAACCACAAATAAGTTTCGCAAGTCTTTAAACGAGTTTGATTCTACTCACCGTTCACATTAAGCTCGGATTTGTTGATTGCACTGATGGACTGTGCCTCCTTAATGGGCGTCTCTGACACGACAGCATCAGCAGCCCCCAGCGACGCCGGCTTGCTAACATCGTTTGTGGCAGGGGCAGGCGGGGCAGGAACCTCAACAGTTGGAGTGGCTTTCTCCCCCGTTGTACTTTCGGCTTCCTTGGACTCTTCGGCACTTTCTGCTGGCTTAGGCTCTTCCGTGCTTTTGGGCTCGTCTGAGCTTTCTGCCTTCTTTCCATCCTTGGCCTCGGCTGGCACATCCTCTTTGACCTCGGTGGCGACTTCATCGACAACATTATTGCTTGATTTTGTTGCTTCTGCGCTTGGTGCGACCTTTTCGGCTGCTGATGTGAATCGAACAGTTTCTGTACTGCTCTTGGAACTCGAATCAACCTCCATGGGCTCCGGTGAGAGTTCTCGTGCTGGTTCCGATTGCTTTTTTGGCTCCTCTGCCGGCTTCTCAGCATCGGCAGGTGTAGGCTCTGAAGTAGTGGCGGGTGCGCTTTTGGCTTCCGTTTGATTGTCTGACGCTGTTGGTGCTTCTGCTGGCTTCTCTTCATCCACTTCCATGGCTGCGGGAGCTGATTCCGTGACTGCAGCCGCAGCAGGAGTATCTGTGCTAGCACCATTTTCAGGGTCATCGTTACTTTTCGGTGGGTCTTCAGCCTTTGGAACTTTCTCTGGCGTTTTCTCCTTTACCTCGGGCTCATCTTTGCTTGGCTTTTCCTCCTCTGCAGCGTGATTCTGTTTCTCTTCGGGCACAGCTGGGAGCTTGGCAGCACCACCATCTGGCTGATCCTCACTTTCGACTTTCTTGGCATCCGTTTCCTTTTCAACTGCTGGCTCCTCTTCTTTTTCGGGCTCTGTGGTGGAGGCTACAACTGCCTTCTTGGGAGTACCTTTAACTGGCTTCTCGTCCTTCTTAACCTCCTTCTTTTCTTTCTTGGGAGTAGCCTAAAATGAATAATTTTGTTAGATTAGAAATTCTATTGTTTATACAATGAATTAAATAACTACTCACCTTTGGTTTGACCGACTCAACCAACTCTGCATTGGGCTTCTCCGGCTCTTGGTCGAGCTCATCGCTGCCTACGTCCAGCTTGCGTGCACCGCGACCTTTCCCGCCACCCCCGCTCTTGGTGGCTGTCGTCGGTGAGGTACGTGCCTTCTTACTGGGCGGCGGTGTAACAGCCTCAGCGGCCCGTGTCGGTGTGCCGCGAGTACTGGAACGCGTGCGACGTCCACCCTCTAACTCCAGGCTGCCGCCCATCGTTCGTACCAGCTCCTCGCTTTCCCGCTGTGCCCGCTCAATAAACGATCGCCGTTTAGGTGTGCGTTTCTGCAATAGTTAATAATAAAATATAAGTAATGGTCAAATACCCGCTCAGATGATTTCTAATACTCAAAAATAATTCCCACTGTTAACTGACATTGGTCTGTGCCATTAAATACCGCTTATGGGATCAAGTATCAACCCACTGATCAAGTATTAAACCCTAAATAGCCATCGGATTACAAATTAAAATCGAATCTAGAGCGCAACGTACTCCATTCATCCAATCATGCAAACGCACATTCCTACATGTGTGCGAGTACAGTGCCTACCAGATTACAATGTACATCCGTTTGAAGCGCTGCATCAATGAAATTGTTGATAACAGAGTTTATTATTAATTCTCAAGCTATCCTACAGATGCATAGATTTAATATTATTTGTTGTTTATTTTTTTAAACACACAATTTAAATCTTCATTTATTGAAATTTTCCAAAACATTATTTTTCCGACTGCGCGTTAACAAGCGGGTGCCACTGTGCATTTGTGTGGTAAAGTACAGCAAACAACAAAAAGTCGAAAAGAGAACAAGCAAAAATAAAAACAAACGAGACGCAGCGGCAAAACGTGCGTCCAAAAGGGAAACGCCGATTGCTTGCTCACGAACGGCAACAGCAACGAGTACATACACACACACACACATCGTACAATGTATCTTCCACGGGGAAGTGGAGTTTTGGAAAAAGCGCGCGCACACGAGGGCAAGTAGAAGTAGAAAGAAACGTAAATAGAAAATGGACAATAAAACGCAACACACAAAGTGCACACACAAGCCGTGTTGTGTGTACATGTGTGTACGTTTTTGTTTTGGAAAATTACTGAACAATCCTGCGCTTATGTTCCCCTAGGTCCCCCATAGCACCCAAAACAGTCGTCATAGATAATTCGGATTGGTTTATTCATTTGTGTGCGTGGAACTGCGCGCGCTCTTATCGCTGCGCTGTTAATTGTCACTAAATATGTATATGTGCAACGCTACTTACGGGTGTTTTTTTCTCATCCAACGCCGCCTCCTCAACACTACTGTTGTCCAGCACCGTCTCCGGCTTCTGTGCGCCAATTTCGTCGGACATTATTTGGTTAATGAAATGTTTCCAGGCACTTCTATACAATTATGATTAGGTTTTATTGCGAAACCGTGTGTATTTCGCAATATTTTAACTTCAGACTGCTTCGGCTGCAGACTCTGGCACTGACGAGTTTGTTCCACTCTGTCCGCTTGTACACAACTACAGGTAAAATCTACACGCTGGGCAAAGCGTGAACCCGCAAATTTTATAAATGCCGGATACGTGTACTGCAACACAAATAACCGTTCGCAAGTATTGTATTATATTGCGAAAAACACTTGGCTATAATTTTCAAATATTGTTTTCAATAAAAAATTCCGCCTTTTACACTCTTTTGTGTTTTTTAAATCGTAACTAAAACGTAACTCAACTGTTCTGTTTTAGTACTGCACAACGGCGTTTTCTGGCGGCCTTTTTTGTCAGTGTTGTCGGGCAGCGTTGGTTCAGTGTTTCGAAACGCCCCAAAGGCCAATCCACGCGGCGCAGCATTGTTATTTTTATTTATACAATCACAAGACCGGCAAGGAAACCAAAAAAATGGTCTCACAGGAACAGATCGAGGCCATTGGCGGGGTGCTGAACAACAAGGAGAGGCCATTAAAGGAGCGGTTCCGCGCCCTCTTCACACTGAAGAATATTGGTGGCAAAACTGCCATCGATTCCATTAGCAAGGCATTCGACGATGATTCAGCCTTGCTCAAGCACGAATTGGCCTACTGCCTGGGACAGATGCAGGACCCAAAGGCGTTGGACATACTCACGAAGGTCTTGAAGGACACCACACAAGAGCCTATGGTTCGCCACGAAGCTGCCGAGGCCATGGGCGCCATTGGCCACGCAGACGTTCTGGCCATCCTCGAGGAGTACAAGAAGGATCCCGTCGTCGAGGTGGCTGAAACATGCGCCATCGCACTGGACCGTGTACGCTGGCTGCAGAGCGGACAGCAGGTGGACGACAAAAATCCCTACGCCTCCGTGGATCCCTCCCCCCCGACGTCCGGCGACAAGAGCGTGGCTGAGCTAAAGGCCATCTACTTGGACGCCAAGCAGACGCTGTTCGATCGCTACCGGGCCATGTTCAGCTTGCGCAACTTGCGCACAGAGGAGAGTGTCCTGGCCATAGCTGAGGGACTCAAGGATTCGTCTGCCCTTTTCCGTCACGAGGTGGCCTTTGTTCTGGGTCAACTGCAAGAGCCCTGCAGCATTCCGTATTTGCAGCAGAACCTGGAGGACCACAAGGAAAATGAGATGGTTCGCCATGAGTGTGCAGAAGCTCTGGGAGCCATTGCCTCGGACGAATGCATACAGATTCTGAACCGCTATGCAGACGATGAGAAGCGTGTGGTCAAGGAGAGCTGTGTGATTGCCCTGGACATGTGCGAGTACGAGAACAGTCCGGAGTTTCAGTATGCCGATGGCCTCACAAAGCTGGATGGGACTAAATAATCATATTTAGCATTTGAATTTATTTTACTGTATATATTATTTGTAAATTTGTATTGTTAAATCACGGTACGTGATTGCCCAGAATCTAATCTAATCGGTCGGCATTAAAGTGAATCGAAACGTGACTTCCAAAGGGTTTCCACTTCTTGAGATAATTTGTAGTGTTTACTTGAACGTGGGAACTATCAAGTTACTCGTAGATTTGATCTAGCACTTTTTCTTCGAAAGCACCGGTCTTTTGAAATACCAGCGTTGCATTCGTGTAGGGTTGCGTTTCTGTATGCTATCAGTAGTGAATGTATTTATTAGCTTTTCTTGTGATTAAGCTAGTGTTTACACAAATAGTTTCTATCGTTTCGTAGATTTAATCCCCTTTTTTGTAAAAACCACGACTTGCGCATTGCATACCAAGAAAAACGGTACCTCTTTTAAATCGAAAATGCATCGAAAGTCGATTGTCCCGATAAGCATGCTCGGAACAGTACTAGCGCTTTTTTCACTAATTTCTGTAGCGATGGCGGCGAACAAGGAACGTACTTTTATCATGGTTAAGCCCGATGGAGTCCAGCGTGGACTCGTCGGCAAGATCATTGAGCGCTTCGAGCAGAAGGGCTTCAAATTGGTCGCCCTGAAGTTCACCTGGGTAAGAATATAATTAAATTAAGAAATCAATAGCGGCGCCCCCACGCTGGCTGGCGCATCGTATTTAACCTCAAAGTCGGCGCCGTCAGGTGGGGAGCGTCATCACTTTGACATGTGTGTTTAGAGTTCAAGAAAACGGTGATAGTGTTACAATAACTGTTTTGTAATCATTGCAGGCCTCCAAGGAACTGTTGGAGAAGCACTACGCCGATCTGTCGGCTCGCCCCTTCTTCCCCGGACTTGTCAACTACATGAACTCCGGTCCAGTGGTTCCCATGGTGTGGGAGGGCTTGAATGTGGTCAAGACCGGCCGTCAGATGCTTGGCGCCACCAACCCCGCCGATTCCTTGCCCGGCACCATTCGCGGTGACTTCTGCATCCAGGTGGGCCGCAACATCATCCACGGCTCCGATGCCGTCGAGTCCGCCGAGAAGGAGATCGCCCTCTGGTTCAACGAGAAGGAGCTGGTTACCTGGACTCCAGCTGCCAAGGACTGGATCTACGAATAAAATGGTAGACATGTGTAGAATCTGAATCTGCATTTGCCTCTCACTTAAGTTATACAGAGTACAGAGATTCTTAAAAAGAAATAAAATTCCATCATTCTTATAACAGTACTCTATTTTATTCAGTTCTGTACTCTACCCACTCACTGGTGGGGTTCTCTGTTGGTAGCACCCATCCGCGCGGTATGCAGGAGCCTCCTTTTCCTTGCGTTATATAAGAATCCCATATGGAACTGCAAAACAAATTGGATTACTTGAGAGACCTGAGGCTGGAACTGGCTGTTCTAAAACCTACCGCCGCTTGAGAAACTCGGCCTTAAATCCTCGTCGCCGCCTCTGACTAGATGAGGGTGAGCCAAAGAACACAACGTCCCAGTGGCGTTCTATAGCTGTCGACTTGGACTCGGTGATTCTGCCAGTCTTAGTCGCCTGTTGCACCCGGCTCCACGCCGTGCGCATAGGCGCCAGCTTCTCGGTAAGTTTGGCCTTATCTCCGCCACGAGCCTCGCATAACTTCTCCAGAAGGTCCAACCTTTCCAACATGCTGGCGGCGTCATGACGCCTTTTCAAGTCGATGTCCTCCGCTTGCTTTCCTCTTGGAGCAGGACGGGGCTGGTCGGGGGGATTTGGTACGGGTTCTTGTTTCACAACGACGTCGGCTGCTTGCTGTTCTTTGTTCCTTTGTCTGAATTTCCAACGGCGGCGTTTTCTGCGTCGTTGGATGCCGGCAATCTTTGCAGCCGTTTTAGAGTCGATTTCGTCTAGCTGTGCTGTTGTGGTTTCGTGGGGCGCCTCAACCTGCCCCGCATCAACTCCGCTTGGTGGGGCATCTCTAACAATTGCCAAATCCCGTATATCGCCAGCAGATTCTTCAATATTTGTCTTTATTTCGCATAATTTCGGAGTTTTCGCCGGCATTTTAAGCAGTGTTAGAAAACGTCAAATGCGTGCACAGCTGTTTGGCTGATGTTAATTTATTAAATATTATTATATTAATGCGAAACATGTAATAAGGGAAGCATAATAAAATACTATTGAGGGAACGTTTTAAGATTCGCTTGCCTCCCGCCATGGAATTAAACAGCCAGAACACCCTTGGCTTCGGTTAAAATCTCTGCAGCCTTTGTGTATGTCTCCGTCTCCTTGAGATCCACCTCGTCATCGAGGAATTTCTGCAGCAAGTCAAACTCCTTTTGCAGCCTGGAAAGAAAGGGGCGAGAAGTTAAACATTTGGCCGGGAACTCTTAGATAATGGAAATACCTGCGCTTTGAGTCCGGAATCATCATCTCACACTCCTCGATGACCTCCTGCTGCTTGCGCAGGACATGGTCATCGGCTCCATCGTTCCTGAACTTCTCCAAGCGTGTGCGTTCTACGTTCACCTCCTTTTCGTACGTGGTCTTTTCCTTGGACAGCCGCTTAACGACACCCGTTTTAATAACCAATTGCCTGATGCGTGGATCTGCCATTTTTAAGCTCGCACCGGATTATTGGTATTTCAAGTGAGTAAAATGTTAATTAGAGCCACAGCTTCTATTCTAAATCACAATTATTTTGATAGTTTATGAACAGCCGGCTGAAGTTTGTGCTTGCATTCCCTTTGTTTGTGCTTTTTAATAAATACCGCCTGTGAGTCAGTACCAGAGCTGCCAGAGTTTCAGAGTTTGGAAAAGTGCCATTCACAATAAACTTCGAAGACTGTTCAATTCTGATCACATTTTCAAAATGTGAGTTACCACCGATGGTTGAGTTAACTTAATAATTCAGAATTGGCGTTTACATTTGCACAAAGATGAGTTATAGAGTTTGCTTACAAATCTCGATATCTATAATCTGCAAAATTTCGTTGAAGTGCTCTCCAACACACTCGGTTGCTTTCCCTTTGTTTGTCCTTTTAATATGCCGCCTGTCATTTTTAAAGCTGCCACCCATTTCAAAAAGTGCCATTCACAATAGACTGCGAAAGCTGTTAAATTCAAAAATATGAAATCTTATTTAAGATGGAACATTCTTTGCTCACATTTTCAAAGTGTTTTAGTTTTGGGAAAATGAAACAATTTGTTGAATCAATTTATTTGGTATTTTACGGTTAAGCTTCCTTTATTTTTCTCATCATTTAAAAGATCTTTTTATCAAGCAACATGTGTCCAGTATTCATGAATTTTGTTTGGTGTTTCGGTTACAATTAGATGTGTATAAATTCAGAGAATGGTTATGGGGGGGGCAATGACCTGCGATAAACGTATATACTGTGTGTAGTATGCAAATGCAAATGAGGCTCGAACGAACATTTAGAATGCATTGTCAAAAACCGCATGATTATGTTTGTGTGTTATAATATTTTTTGTAATACTTCTTAAGCATTTGTCTTTTGGTTTAAAGAGAAAATTTTGAATTCATTACGAATGTAGTCTTGTTTGGTTGTTGTTTCAATGAAGCATTTAAAGAGAAGGGGACAGGGGCAGGGACACAGGGGCCATGGTTTAAAACTAAACTTTGAAATTACCGGGTGTAATAGATTTTAAATCGAATGCCTCCGACTTGACTTATCAAAAGTATAAAAAGTGTTTAAAATCCATTTGGTGACGCGATGGGAAGGGGCCATGATGGGCTGATAGGATATTCATTTAATGGCAGATGAAGAGATGTCGATGCGGTTGTTTAATAAAACTTGTATTATTAGTAATGATGGATGAGAGTATATCGATGAGGCTAGCAGCAAGCTACAGTGGCATATTGGTTGGCTCCCTCTGCTTCTGCTGCCGCTACTGCAACTGCGAAAGGTTTCCTGCGAAAGGACTTGCGATGGCGATACAAATTCAGATAGATGCAGTAGATGGCAACGTTGAGTGCGACAACCGACTGGGCGAACGGAAAGGATGCTGGATACTCGTCCGACTGGCCACCATCACGCTGGGTCGGCAGAAGGATGCCATCGACTCTACTGTTGCTCCTGCTAGCAGGCTCCACGCTAATTGTTTGTGTGATTATTATTAATTGTAGTATTTGCTCGATTTCATATAATATTTGCATGCAGCAGTTAATATTGGTAATTGATGTTTCTACTTGTTCTTCCTCTCCTTCGGTTGCCACTGATTCTGCTTTTGATCGTCGATTAGATATTATTAAGTTTTTGAGATGTGTTGTTGCTGTTGCTGTTGCTGTTGCTGTTGCTCTAGCCGTTTGCTGCTGGGATTCTTGAGTGATGTTGCTGTTGTTGCTGCTCTCGCTTATGTTGTAGGTCTGCTGGCACCCTAGTTATTTCTTCTTCTGTGCCTTCTCAGCGGCTTTTGTTACTTTGCCCGAGGTCGTTTCTTTAAAGTTGACGGACTTGATAACGCCAACGGCGACCGTTTGGCGCATGTCGCGCACAGCGAAGCGCCCCAGCGGCGGAAACTCCTGGAAGCTCTCAACGCACAGCGGCTTGCTGGGCACCAGCACAATGATTGCCGCATCACCCGACTTGATGGCCTTCGGCTCGGTCTCCGTTGTCTTGCCCGTACGACGATCGCACTTCTCCTTGATCTCCGCAAACTTGCACGCAATATGAGCCGTGTGGCAATCCAAAACGGGAGTATATCCATTGGCTATCTGCCCAGGATGGTTGAGCACAATTACCTGTACGAATGGGAGTTCAAATTTGAATCAGTCTTCCACACTCCCTAGACAGCAGCAACTGCTTACCTGAGCGGTAAAGTCAGCAGCTCCACGGGGTGGATTGTTCTTGGAGTCGCCAGCCACATAGCCACGTCGCAGCTCCTTCACCGAAACGTTCTTCACATTGAAGCCAACATTGTCGCCCGGCATGGCTTCGGTGAGCGCCTCGTGATGCATCTCCACGGACTTTACCTCAGTGACCAAATTAACTGGCGCAAAGTTGACGACCATTCCTGCAACGAGAACATATATATTTATACATACAGAGTAGGTAGGGTTCTCTATCTGTCGGCTGGTTGGGTTGTGGGTGTAAGTATGAGTGCAGCACGGGGTTGCCCTGCCTCGCTCTCGGCGCTCTAATAATGCATACATGCGCAGGGCTTCGTGTCGAGCTTCGTTCGCGGCGGCGGCAGTGGCACCCAAATGCCGACCTAAATTTAGCTGCCCAGCACTTGATGGCAGAGAGTTTGAATGCACAACTAATCATGTGGGTGGCGGTTGCATACATTAATCAAGACACGTATTGTGAGTCCATCCTTCCTTCCGCTTACCTGGCTTCAGGATGCCCGTCTCCACACGACCCACGGGTACTGTGCCAATGCCGCCAATCTTGTAGACATCCTGCAGGGGCAGGCGCAGGGGCTTGTCGGTGGGACGCTGTGGCGGCAAGATCGCGTCCAGCGCGTCAATCAGGCACTTGCCCTCGCCCTTGCCCTCCTTGCGCTCCACGGTCCAGCCCTTGAACCAGGGCATCTTCTCGGAGGGCTCCAGCATGTTGTCGCCGTGCCAGCCCGAAATTGGGACGAATGCCACCGAGGCCGGATTGTAGCCGATCTTCTTGATGTACGAGGACACCTCCTTCTTGATTTCCTCATAGCGCGCCTCGCTGTAGGGCGGCTCGGTGGAGTCCATCTTGTTGACGCCCACAATGAGCTGCTTAACGCCCAGCGTGAAGGCAAGGAGAGCGTGCTCGCGGGTCTGGCCATTCTTCGAGATGCCGGCCTCGAATTCGCCCGTGCCCGCGGCCACGATCAGGACAGCGCAGTCGGCCTGCGAGGTGCCGGTGATCATGTTCTTGATGAAATCTCTGTGGCCAGGCGCATCGATGATGGTCACATAATACTTGGCCGTCTCGAACTTCCACAGAGCAATGTCGATGGTGATGCCGCGCTCGCGCTCCGCCTTCAGCTTGTCCAGCACCCAGGCGTACTTGAACGAGCCCTTGCCCATCTCCTGGGCCTCCTTCTCGAACTTCTCAATGGTGCGCTTGTCAATGCCGCCGCATTTGTAAATCAAATGTCCCGTGGTGGTGGACTTGCCCGAATCGACGTGTCCAATCACCACAATGTTAATATGGATCTTCTCCTTGCCCATCTTCTCGTGCTCTTTACTCCAGATGAATGCAAAATGCAAATCAACGACGATGCGGCGATGCGGCTGCTTCTTTCTCTACATATAACGGGATACAAAAAAAGAAACCAGAGAATGGGCGAGAGAGAACAGATATAAGGATGTACATATGCATGTAGTATGTGTACGTGTAGGGTGTGGGTGTAGACACAAAAGAGAAACCGTTGCATACATGTCGCAATGATTTCCGGACACAAGACGAAGAAGCAAGCACTGTGCAAGCAGTGCACACACTGTGCAAGCAGTTCACTGCAGTGGAAGTGGCACTCACCTAATTATTTATGACGACTATCGCTGGGCGCTGCTTTGCGGTCAAAACTGTTGACAAATCCACTGGCTGCTGAATCCTGGAATATATTTTAAATTAATTTTTGTATAATTATACACTGAATACTAATGGAGAGTTATGTCCTGCTGCAGACACGGCAAACGACTGATTCTCGTCGTTTCTGTAACCCGGTCTAAAAAATCAATAACGAGCACCAGACAGAAAACAGAAGCCGAGCAGTGGCTTGGAGCTTGGCAGCCGAGAGCAGCCCACACGACTCGCAATGCACTCTCAGACAGTCCACAACGCCCCCAACCCCCCGCCAAGCAGTCGAAACAACACGGAACACATTGCGGCAGGCAGAGAAAGTGTCGCGGGTGGGCGGACTACCAAAAAAGAGCGAGCTGAGGTGAGCTGAGCTGAGGTGGCAGCCAAGTGCTGGCTCAAATTGCTCGAATTAGCTTTCCCATTAAGATGAAGATGGATAGGGCAGATTTATGATATGAACAGATTATGAGGAATTTGCACGAAATGGCAGCAAAATCAATGATGACGTCGCGCCTTGCCCGTCGGTGGGTGCGGGTAGGCAAAGCTAAATAAAGAGTCTATGCAAAGCATCGGCATTCGGGGACATTCGTGTGTGTCTCTTGAGCTGCTCTCGGCGGCAGGGTATAACTATTCGCGTTGCTCAAAAGGGTGCAAAAACTGCACAGACAGACAGAGAAAGAGCCAGAAAGTGAGAGAGAGAGAGAGAGAGAGAGAGAGAAAGAGGAGAGAAGAGACACAACACACATGTAGAGAAAGAGATGCACTTGCTCGGCAGCGGCCTGGCCTGGCTCATCGTTTAGCATCGATTCTCGTCGGCCGCCTGACGTCTTGGATAAACTTGCAGCCGAACTAACACACACACACACACACACTTGCACACTTGCTGCAGCACACACAGTCACACACACTGGCACATGGATAGGGCGTTGAGATTTATTTTCTACCCTAGTGACAATTTTTACTTTGCGAATTTTCCTCATTTATTTTTAAACTCTGTATTTGCGTCGAAGTGCAAATTGCACGAAACGAAGACACGAGAAAAAGGGAAATGTAAAAATACTTTGGCATGCTAAATCTCACTCACACACTCACACAGAGATGCAGAAGTGCAGATGCAGCAGGGCAGAGGAAAAGGGGCAGGCATGATAATCTGCAGAGCATGTGTCATATGCAAAATGCACATGCCTTTTAGTTTAGCTGATGAAAATTCCCATAAAAAGCCAGAAAAACACGCAAATAGGCAAAATAAATCAAGGAACACCTCATCACACACACAAACACAAGCAAAAAGTTGTTGCAATTCTTTGCCAAAACGGCCGCCATGTTGGAAATTAAATGTCTCAACCGCAAAAAAACTGGTTTAATTCGGTTCAAAATGGAGCAAAAAGTGCAACAGAGCTTGAATCTTTATTCGCGTCATCGAACACTTTTCACCGCCATCGTTATTTATGCACGGACTCTTATGCAAAATGTTATAGGACACCGGCCGGTAATGCAACTTTTCTGCACACACAGACACATACACTGGCATACACATGAAAATGCACCGGGCTGTCGTCGTCGGTTGTATAAAAATGCAAGTCAATCGCTTTTCATACCACTAAAAGGGGCAAATATTTGTGAATGTACACGAAATATCCAATGCCCCACACTTGTTTGGTTAATTGACACTCGGAAAATCAATCGATGCCTATTAATATTGGCTATTTTCAAGAATTTGACTAGCCCCATTTGCGGTTTGCGTGCACTTACCTCGAAATCAGAAAACGGAAAGAGCGAAAAGTTTAACGGGAGCCTCGTCGGCGATGGGACCGCGGACTTTGCTATAAAATATACCCACACGAATATACCGCAATATACCAAAACAGCCATGAAATGTACCGATGAGCCATGAAGCAGGTGAACTTTTTATAGCAGGCGAAAAAGTTGTGTTAAGCCGGGGAAAACTTGTAATTAGTCTTGTAAATCCTTGTTACTTGAAAAGAAGAGCCCCACGATACCTTTCATAATTGTAGTGCACCGTTCATGATCGGAAATGATATTTCTCAGTTTTGAAATTCGGTGTAATATTCCTAGCTAGCTGGGAATCTTTTCTACTCAATTTTCTACTAGATTGGCTAATGGCAAAGAATCTCTTTTACATGTCTCCTTCCTTCCGGAGATTTTCAGCAACAAAGAACAAAAATGTTGGCGTATCCGTCTAGTATGTATTCAAAATATAAAGTAAGAGCTAAATATTACATGAAAAGGCCAAGCTATGCCGAAAGTTTCCACAGAACTATGTTATGCATTGTTCATTTCCATTCACTGTCCGACTCGTACTCTGGCCAATCTGGCTTCACGCCAGCCGGCAGCTTCTTCTGCTCCAAATAAACATTGAACTGCTCGGGAATGGACATAAATCTGCGAAGCTTCAAGCGAAACTGCCTCCATGTCAGCTGGTTATAGTTCTTCCGATCCGTGACCATGGCCTTGTAGTTGAACTTGTATTTGTTGAGGAAATAGGAGAGCTCCTTGATGACACCTTTGGGTAGTCTGTAAGAATCGAAGCAATATAAAAATGATCGTAATTGCAAGAGATTCCTGTCTACCTGAATTCTGGGTCTGCGCGCTCGCTAGCCAATTGCTCCAGTTCCTCTACCACATGAAGACGTTTGGGCCCCTCGACTAGAGGCGCTTTCTTTATGCCCAGCACCAGGCGCTCCTCTTCGTCGAGTTCCTCCTCCACGAAACCATTCACAATTTTAGCCGCTTGAAGTCGCTCCTTTCTGTAGCTTGGTATCGCGATTGCCTTGTTGGGATCCTTGGCCAATCCCATTTCGCTGAAGTTGGTGCCCACACGCTGGCCCTCCACCCACATTTTCTTCAGAGTGGGACTAAGCGAAAAAAGTTAATGGTGTTCCATGGGGACTCTTAAAAAGTTAACTTACTCCTTGATTTTGCCAGTAGAACTGCGTGTTTTGTTTAGAGTTTTACGGTTCACACTGTAGCGATAGTGCTTGCCTTTGTGGTTCTTGCGAATCTTCATAGTTTATCTGTTTATTTCTTAAATTTCTTTACTAAAAACCAAAACAAGTTGTTGCAGCTGCACGTGTGTGGTGCAGTGTGACCGCAGATTTATCGATAAAATATACCGCAACACCGCAACCTGAATGTATACCAAAATATACCTTCAGTCCTAAGGCATTTTCTTCTTATGTTATGTTCCATGTTCCATTACTAACTAGTTAGAACTCTCAGCGCTAAAAATATAATTTTATCAGATTCGTCCATCGATTCTCAACAATATTGGCTAGTTTCCATGACTGGTATCCTGGTATTTTTGAGTATTTTCGTTTTTACAGTATTTTTATGCTATGCGACAACCCTAGTCTGATCTGTTTTTAACTTTTGTTTATAACAAATCAAGTGAACACAATGCGCGATGAAATTTTGGATCCTAACAATCTGGTCAAGAACCGGGAGATACTGTATCGACTGATGATAAGGTAAGCTAGTGGGTTTGCAGACCAGAGCGCCAAATGATTGTCTCTCCATCTTGCAGCCAGCTGATGTACGATGGCTTGGAGAAGTTTGCCATGGAGCTGTCGATGCTGGTCAAGGCGGATCAGTGTGCGCCGAGCGAGCGCCTGCTGCATGTGATGATATCCGGCATGCAGACTTTGTCCGACAAGGAGAAACTCAATTCGGACGACGTCCTCCCTGGCATAGATCTCGAGTTTGAGCCCGAAGCATCCGCACTGGCGCCAGAGCCGCACTCGTATGAAACGGCCTATGTGACGTCCCACAAGCAGGCCTGCCGTGCCGGCGCCTTCAGTTACGACGGCTCGCTGGTGGCCACCGGCAGTGTGGATGCTAGCATCAAGATTTTGGATGTGGAGCGTATGCTGGCCAAGTCGGCGCCAGACGAATGTGAACCGGGTCGCGAGCAGCAGGGTCATCCGGTTATACGCACCCTGTATGACCACACCGATGAGGTGTCCTATCTGGAGTTCCATCCCAAGGAGCACATCCTGGCATCGGCATCGCGCGACGGCACCGTCAAATTGTTTGACATTGCCAAGCCCTCGGTGAAGAAGGCCCACAAAGTCTTCACCGACTGCGAGCCTGTGTTGTGTTTGTCATTTCATCCTACTGGCGACTACATAGCCATCGGGACAGAGCACAACGTTCTGCGTGTGTACGATGTGCACACCACGCAGTGTTTCGTCAGCGCCATTCCCTCGCAGCAGCACAAGGCCGGGGTGACGTGTGTAAAGTACTCGCCCACAGCCAAGCTATATGCAACGGGTAGCTATGACGGCGACATCAAGGTCTGGGACGGCATCAGCGGTCGGTGCATCAACACTATTGCAGAGGCCCACGGCGGTGCGGCCATTTGCTCGCTGCAATTCACACGAAACGGCAAGGTAAGTGTGGGGCATCTCCCTGGACACAATTCCAACTCATCCAAACGTTATTCCAGTATTTACTATCGTCGGGCATGGACTCGCTTGTCTACCTGTGGGAGCTCTGCACCAGTCGACCCATACAAACGTACACGGGCGCCGGCACCACCGGCAAGCAGGAGAATCAGACCGAGGCTGTCTTTAATCATACCGAGGACTATGTGCTCTTCCCCGACGAGGCGACGACATCGCTGTGCTCTTGGAACTCTCGCAATGGCTGTCGGCTTACGCTCAATTCTTTGGGCCACAACGGACCTGTACGCTACATCACCCACTCGCCCAACTCCCCTGCGTTCCTCACCTGCTCCGATGACTTTCGGGCACGTTTCTGGTATCGCAGGGCAACCAATCAATAACTTTTATAGAAGCAGCAAAAGAATAAAGTATTTAAGAATGAAAAGAAACCAAACAAGTAATAATATTTGCAGTAACTTTACTGCATTGCTCGGGTATATACTTTTATCGAATATTTGTTTTAGTAAAATTCTCTTTATTTGAAAAGAACTCGTTCAAGTGTCTTGCCATGAATCGAATCGTTAGCCTAGAGTTCGCTCGCTTCTGATCTGTAATATCTTGAATATAATATCGTATCGGATTGAGCGCATTGTAAGTTTAAGTCGTAATGGTTGCCTTTTAAGTAAATTGTTGATGTGATAATACAAGAGGATCCCACGTCTCGTCTCGTCTCGTTTCGTTTCGTTTCGTATAAATATCAGTTCAGTTCAGATTTCTACCTCTTCACTGGGAAGTCCTTTGCGCATTTTGTTGTACATTGGAACATGCCTTAAAGTCTAAGTAGTACATATTTATATCATAATTAAGTAGTCGATAATTAAGTTTACAACATTTTGGTGGGGCCTGCCTTCCGCGTTGGGGGTGGCCCCTGTACCAAATCATTTTGATAATTGCACAAATAGCCAATACATTTGATATCATTTCATCTTGTCGCCAAGGTAATGAACAAAAAATTATACTACAGACTTTGAGTATTAAACAAATCTCCTATGCCTATACCTAATGTATATGTACAACAAAAAACAATAAGAATGCTAAATAGTTCACAAATAATAAGAAAGTTTCAACAAAATCACAAAAAAAAGAAGTTAAAAAGTTCTAAAATTGCCTTACCCCAACCGTCCTGGGGTTCGCTTTCAACTCTGTAAATAATTGTTTAATAATTAAAGCCGAAAGTCATTAGAGTTCACTGAACTGTGTGTGCAAATGGCAGGTGGGTTTGCCAGCAGCTTAGGCCTAAGGATTACAGTCTTACAGTCTAAGGATACATTAGCTTAAGAGTGTTTTCGTTTTAGTTAAAACTTATTTGTTAAGGCTATCTGGACGGAGCACGTTGTAGTCGTAGTAGCTTAGTATTGCTTCAATTTAACTAACAATCCTGTTGAGTGTTTTTCCTTATTCCTATCAAGTATTCTACAGTTGAGAGAGCTCGCTATAAGGTGCGTTCAGTATGTGTGTGCGTTAGAGTTAGCATTAAGTGGGGGATCCCCTTCCAAAAGTCTTTACGTTGCGGTGGTTTGTGCGTTGGTGGCCAGTGCCAGGCTCTTGCCCTCAGCCACCGAACATGTGACGGGCGGCGAGGGTGATGGCGATGGCGACGGCGACGGTGAGATCTGTATCTCATTCTTAATGATGACATCGTGATGCAGGCTCATCATGGCCGCAGCGGCTGCCTCGGGATTGGAGCCCTCATAGCCATCACTCAGCTCCGGGTCCTGGTCCGGGTCCTCCTGCTTCACGTCCTCTGGCAGCAGCATGCAGTTGTCCTGCTGCTGTTGCTGCTCCATCTGCTGTTGCTCCATTTGCTGTTCGAGCTGTAACTGGTACTGCTCCTGCTGCTGTTGCTGCTGCTGCTGCTGCTGCTGGTACATGGAGGCCTGCATGTCGCCAGCTGCCGCTGCGGTGATCAAATACTTGAGCGGACTGAAGGCGCCCATGTCCTTGGGTGGCGTAAAGTTCTCGTGCGTCATCTTCAGGTGGTTCTTCATCTTGTCCGGCCGCGAGAACTCCTTGCAGCACACCGGGCAGGGGAACACCTTGCGGTGCTTGCCCTCGTGGTAGAGGAACGCGTGACGCTGGAAGCTGTACTTGTTCTTGAATGTCTTTTGCATGTTCTCCTTGGCACACTCTGTGCACCGATAGACGCCCTCCACCACGCTGGCGTACCGAAACAGATCCAATCCCCGAACCGACATCTCCGTCAGATGCTCCGCCTGATCGTCGATCGTCGACTGTGCCTTGCGTCGCACCCTTCTCCGCTGTATGGGACGCTTGACTGGCTTCTTGGAGCCCGATAGGCGCGATGGATTGCTTGCCCGGACACCGCCAGATGTTGATTGCGTTTTGCGCTCAGACTCGACGACTCGATAGCCAGGCAGCCCCGCATTCTCGTCGGCCAGTGTAAGTAAGTCATGATCCTGCTCATCATCAGCCTTATCCTGCTGCTCGGCCAGGCAGAGTAGCTCCATGTCATCATCCGGATACTGATCGGCGCTCAAGGGCGATTCCTGCTGCTGCTGCTGCTGCTGTTGTTGCTGCTGTTGCTGCTGGTAATAGTCCGCCGCCTTCTGCTGATTGGCGGCCATGTGCAGCAGTAGCTGGTGGTGCAGACTATCGCTGTTGTTGGCCACTTGTGCTGCCTGCTGCTCCGCCGCATTGGCCAGCGACTGCAGTCCACTGTGTGCCTCCTCCTGGCTCTGCTGGCTCTCGATGTCAGTCTCCTCGTTGGTGGTTGCAGCTGCGACCGCTGGCAGCCGACTGGCACTGGGCACCTCGGGATCTTTGGCCCCGCCACGCAGTTGTTGCTTGAGCAGAGAGTTGCTGTTGCTGCCATTTCCCTTGGGCTTCGACTTTGACTGCGACTGTGTGGGCGATGTTGGCTGGGTCTGTGCCTGTGTCTGCTTCTGTGGGGATGTGGTGTTGGGGTTAATGGCGCGTATCTTCAGTCCCAGAATGGTTGGCAGGTGCACTGGATTATCGCCAATCTCCAGCAGTGTGGCCACCGCTGGCTCTGCCACAGAGTTGGTAGTTGAGCCTGCCCCCGATCCCAGTGCTGATCCTGCCATAGTAATTGTCTTGGCCGAAATTGTGGTCGTCAGCGTTGAGGTGGAGCCAAAGAGTCGTTGCGAGAGTTCCGGTGTGGCCTGCGACTGTGCGGTTGGGACTGTAAAAATATAGATTTAAAAATTAATTCCAGAATCTTTTCAGATCAAAAATAAAGCTAAACGTTTTGGGGGACTACAATCAAGAATAAAAACCAACTAGAACTAAAATGAAATAAAAACAATCAATTTTTGGTTCAGAACTGATTTTTTTGTTTTGTGTGTTTTTTGCATTGTGTATTTTATTTCTCTTGTTTTATTTTTTGTTTGTTTGTTTCTTGTTGTATTATAAAATGTTCTGCTTGCTCTTGCTTTCGCCTTCCTACTATAACAAATAATTAGTTATACATAAAGATATATATATATATCTGATATCCGATTAATATTGCGTGTGATTCACTATTTAGTAGTTAGGTTTTTGTTGTATGTATTTTATAATTAGTCACTATCATTAAATCGTATCGTATTCTCGTATTTAGCTAATTTTAAACGGAAACCAAGTTTACCAACGAATTTGCAGACAATTTTCTCATTCACAAATGGAAGTTTGCTTGCCTTGCGATATTCTGGAAAGATCTGGTCAGATATATTTATATACATATCCGTATATTCATATATTTCTTTGGGCATCAAAAGCATGACTCTTTATATACTCGTATATATTATATATTATGTATATTGATTGATTGATTGATTGATTGATTGATTGATTCCTCGAAAAGTGTTCGAGTGTCGTGGACATCGTTTGAAAGCGAGAAAATTGCCGAGGATGAATTGATTTTTTGTTTGTTTTTTTAGTTCTTTGAATGCACAAAATATTTGTAGTGTATATAGAGTAGATATATATATATTAGAAGTAGACTAAAAATAAAAGTAAAATATAGTACAAACAATCTACAATATATATTGTGTTTGATTTTTAAATGTTTTAAGTTTTTGTTTGTTTTGTTACAAGTAACGCAAAAATAAACAAAAGATTGGAAGATGATTCTTTTGGGTTAGACATAGATGAAGAAATCCTTGAAATTGTGGGTATTCTGTTGGTGGAGATTGTTAGGTTGGTGGTGGTGGTGTGGGGTCGACGGCGGCTTACGGACTAAATTGCACTAGCTACCACTAAATAAAGAATTAAAAACAAAATTATTTAATAAATTAGCGTACGCAGCTTGTTTATTATTGGATTGCGCATAATTTTTAGTTTTAATTTTTATTTTTTTGTATGTTTTTCTTTTTTGCTGAATCTTTTTTTAGCAGCTTTTCAGTGGATTTTTTTTTTGTATGTGTCAAAAATTTGAACGTTTTCACATGACTCGAGGAATAAACTTTTTCTTGTTGTCTGTTGTTTATTTTTGTTTTATATTTATTCTTCTTCTTTGCAGATTTTAAACCTTTCAGTTTTGTTTTGTTTTGTTTTTTTTTTTTTTTTTTTTTTTTTTTTTTTTTTTTTTTTTTTTTTTTTTTTTTTTTTTTTTTTTTTTTTTTTTTTTTTTTTTTTTTTTTTTTTTTGGAGATCGTTTTGCTTTAACAACAACAAATTTGTAATTTTAACATTCTCTATTTTTCTTTTTCTTTCTGTATGCTGCGGTTTTTCGTCTCTGTTTGGATTTTTCAACTGCATTTTAGCGTTTAGGTTTTTGCTTTTGCTTTTGATTTTCATTTTCTTTGGCGATAATTTAAGCCTCCGATATACAACATAAATCGTTCAATAGATTGATGATAAATTATGTTTACTTGTTTATGCTCATTAATTAAATAATATTATCATTACAATTATTATTGTATATTATTGTTGCTGTTTCTATGTGTAATTACAATTTATAGACGATCAGTGATCGATTAACAATCGACAACCCATCCAATCCCCACTCTCGATACCAACGAAACATTTGCAATCTTTCCTTGGATATCTCCTGTGGGGAGTGGCATCTATCTGTATAGGGTGCGTGTGTGTGTGTGTGTGTGTGTGTGTGTTTGTGGGGGTGTGGTGTGAGTGACTGGGGGTCACAAAAGAGGACCTTGCGCCCAGACTCGGATTTAACTTTTAACTAGCTTCATTTGAAGGCAACAAGGTAGATTTGCGCTCCCTCCTCGCATACGATTAACATTAAAATTTTGTTTGCTTTTCCGTTTCCGTTGTGTTTAGCTTTCGATTCGTAAGATGTAATAATAATAATATAGATAGTATATAGTAATTAACATAAGCATATCTGAACATAATATAATGATAAATTAATTAATAGAACTACGTGCTAAACATACCATTCAATGTGTATAGATATTTTTTGTGTATTTATATTCTGTATCTTAAGTTATGCAGATACATTTTGTTTTTGTAATTAACTAAAAGTGCAGAAGGTTTTCTCTTTATGTTCAGTTTCGGTTTAACTTTCTTTCTAACCTTTGCCCCTCGTGCCCCCCCAGTGACGTGTCGATTCTTTTAATAAGGCCGCTCTGGTGTCCACAACACAAAATGATATTTGTTTTTCATTGAAATATATTTAGATATATTTCGATCCGTAAAAATAGTAATCGCATTGGTGGTTTTTGTTTTGTTTTTTTTTTTTGTCTGTTTAGGATTAGTTTTGGAAGTGAGGGCGGGGCGTGCGGGTTTGACTTACGGCTAAAAATAAAAGGTTCGGTTCGGTTTGGGTTGGATTGGATTGGATTTGGAAAAATAATTGCACAACATATTATAATATGTATTTATATGAAATATAAAGACTGCTAAACGGTTATTTTGTTGTTGAGGAAATACACCGTTTTGGCTCGCCTTTTGGATAATCAAAGATTTCCACGTTGCCCGGCATTTTCTCTCGAATTATTCGTATTCTCGTTCGTATAAAAGAGGAACGCAAAATAATAGTTAGATTATAAAACAAAAGCCAGAAGTAAATAACTAAAAACAAAATCAACAAAAAAAGTCTACCCCCCGGTCCCCCTGCACAGCGAGCGCCTGGCGCCTGCTTCTCCTCCCGATCCTTAGATTCCACTCCCCCATTGGATTCTGCTGGAATATTGTGTGGCTGCTTCTCCTGGAGTCAACCCTTCTGTCTCTGTCTGTGTGTGTCTGAGGATTTCTTCTTGGGTGGGTGCTATATGGTTTATGGTTTATGGGGTCAGGGGGAGATTACTGCGCCGCCGCAGCGGGAGCTGCAGGTGTCGTGGCCACCGTCAGCGGACCCAGGGAGCCGCTCGATGACGAGGTGGACGACGATGATGAGGTGGAGAGCGCATTGCTGGTGGCGGGCAGCGACTGATTCGAGTTCTGGGCACTCAGATCTGGAGGCGGTGGCGTTGAACCACCAGACACGCCCAGCGGCTGATTGGCCAAAGTGGCGGCTGCAACGCTGGCCAGCGCCGTTGAGGGATTTTCGATCTTGTGAATGATCTTGACGTGCGCGGTCATGTTATCCTTGCGCGTGAACTCCTTGAAGCAGAAGGGACACGGATAGACCTTGACGTTGCGCTTATGCGAGGTCACATAGTGCCGGCAGAAGTTGCTGATGTGCGTGTAGACGCGCGAGCAGACCTTGCAGCGGTACGTGTGCTCGCCCTCTTTGGTGCAATAGTCCCGGACGGAGCCCTCCGTGTCGCCCTCACCAATATTGCTGCTGAGATTGAGCTTGGTCTTGACGGCCGGCGAGCCAATGGTGACGCCGCCGCTCAGGTTCGGCGTGCTGCCGCTCAGCGAACCGGCGGCCTTGAACTTGAATCCGTCGCTGCTGTTGTACAGATCGAGGTAGTCCTGGCTGGTGAACACACCCTTCACCTCGCCATTCAGCTTGCCCGTCTTCGGGCGCTTCTGCACGCGCGGCCTGGTCGATGAGGACGATGCGGGCGACACTAGCGGCGTGGAGGCAGCGTTCGCTTTGCCTATGGGCGTGAGCTTCGGTATGCTGACCATACTCTTCACCTGCGCCCCCCCAGCGGCCATTCCGATAATGTTCATCTTGAGTCCGCCACTGCTTAGGCCGGATGTTGCTGCCGCCGCTGCTGCCGCCGTCTCCACATGGTGCTTACGTTGAGCGGCTATCAGGAGCGCCTGCTGGCGTGCCTGTTCGTTGAGGTGGTTGTTGTTGTTGCTGCTGGCTCCACCTGCATCGGTTTGATCCTGCGTGGGCGAGCTGTTGTCGTTGACGGGATTGTATTTGAATTCCACGGGCTCATCGTACTCGTCCAGCATCAGTTGTGGCTCCATGTACGAGGCATCCATGCCATCGCCATCGCTGTCGTTTCCATCTACAGAGGGAGCAAGAGAGAGAGAGAGATTGGAATGTTAGTTAGGTCTCCTCTTTGGGGGTAAAGGATGTCAGTGTAGTGGTGATGTGTGTGTGTGTGTGTGTGTGTGTGTGGGTGCAGGATGTATGCAAGAGAAAGGCAAAACACAATGACGCGACAGTGTGAGAGAATAGTTTTGAGTCGGATCGGAAAAGCTATAGGGATTTCAAGCCATTTTTTTGTATCAACGCGTATCGAAATGTTTTTCTATTTGTATCTGGATTTGTATCGAGTATTTCCTCTGCTATATTCTGATATTTTTTGATATGAAATAATGGGCGTAGGCGGTCATGAGGTGCGATGCTGTGGACGTTCTTTGCATTTTCTGGAGAGCCATCGATTTTTGCGCGCGTTAATAATTTTGGAAACAAAACAAAAATAAACTGAGTTTCTTTTTTCTTTTCTGATTTTATTTTTTTTTTTAACTTTTTCACGTCGGCCATGAATCCCTGTGAGCTTCAACCCGATCCTCAACATCACAATTATTTCTCTGCTTCAGCATTTTTGTGGATTTGCATTTCTGTGGCATCAAAACCGCTTCATGTTTTCTTGTTGTTGTTGTTGTTGTTGTTGGGGACACTCACCTGCCGACGGACGGTACAAGCGCACTCGACTGGGGCGGGGTCCTATAAAACGCTCTCTGCCGATTGATTTTGATTCACTGAACGAAACTTTCGATTGTTTTCTCACATTTTTTTGTTCACTATGATGGGGGGAAACCGACGCGCGTGTAGAGAAGTTTGGATATATTTTTGGTATGGTATCTTTCGATCTAAATTGAAATGCGTAAAATCCCTTTTAGCTTTTCCGATATTCAAATAATTCGAAATATTTTATCATTTTCTGTCGCAGATGAGAGATGTGGCTTCACCTTTTGGTTCTGTTTTGGATTGAGGTTGTATTTTGATTGTATTTTACTCTTTTTTGTTGGTGCACTGAATGATTGACCAGGAGAATGATGTAGTATCGATCGACTGATTGATTGATTGGGTTGATGGTGCAATTCTGTCTCTTAGATTAAAGGTAAAAATGATCTTAGGGTCTATACTATGTAATGTACAAATATGTTTTGTTTCTTGTATATCTTATGATAATCTAGAGGCTGAACATAAAACATGGACTCACCGGAAGTGCTGTTGTCTTCTGCTTGATTAACCACACGATGATCCTTGGAATTCTTTGATCGTTTCGAGGGCAGAGAATCGCGACTTTCCTATAAGCGGAACAAAAAAGATTAGCACCGCTGTTAGGGAGTGGTTTACCGATTAGGAAAACTCACATTTAAATCATCATTATTGCCAGATTCCTGTTGATCATCGGAGCCATCATCGTTGCCAGAGTAGGAGTCGTTTACCAGTTTGCCATTGCCTATGTCCGAGTCGTTCATTAGGTTGTCGCGTTCAAAGTCTTCGTAGTCGTTGCCGGTGCCATTCGAGCTGCCGGACAACTTGCGGGGCCTGCCCCGCTTACGTTTGGGCATCAGGGCGGAGCTGAGGAGTGACGGCTGCACCGGCAGTGTGGCACTATTGGCGGCACTTGCGGTGCTGGCCAAAAGGCTGGTCTGTGACCGATTGCGCTGCGGCACCAGATACGGCTGAATGCGCTGTAACTGTGGCGGGGCTGCTGCTGCCGCCGGTGTGCTCTCTGCCGGCGAGGGCTTATCATCGTTCACCTCGGTGAGGCCCTTGATGCGCAGGCTCTCGGCCACGCGCAGGAATGCGGTAAGACGCTCCTGATCCACGGACACCTCGCCGCGATACATAAAGTCCAGCAGGGACTTCATATCGGAGTAGGGCACATCCTTTAGTATGACAATCGGATGCTTTTCCGGATGATTGATAAACAGAGCGTTGAAGTATGGGCTGCAGGCGGATAGCACCATCTGTTTGAAAGGAGAAAAATAAACCAGAGTTAGACCAGTTAGCCAGTCAACTCGGCAAGGAAGGAAGTATATACTTGCCTTGTGTGCTTTTAGGTATTGTCCTTCCACTGCCAGCGTCACGTCTGTGAAGGTTTCTGCGTGGAGTAGCTGATCGAAGACCGACAGCAGGTTGCTCTGATGATTGTTCCATCGCAGGCAGAATCGTTGGGATGCCATCTTCATTTGGAAGCCGTTGTGGTTGCGGTTGCCTTTTGCTGATTGATTCGATTTTCGGACGGGGTGATCTGTCTGGATACCCTATATAGTGATCTTCATTCAATTGTTAGGCGTGGCGCGCGGGTCTCATTTAAGGTCCTTGGAACTTGTCCTGCTTCCTGACAATCGTTGTAAAGTACAGAACTTATAATCCAGGGCGTGCTGTAATCAAAGGGACGTACACTCCGGTTAGTTTCAAGGCGAACTTTTCTTTTAAAAGGCTCCTGCTATAGGATGCATATTCCATTTCCCCTCTCCCGTCTGTGTTTGTGTCTTTCAGTTGGATATTAGAGTTTCCCACTCGTGTATGAAGGGAGGCTCCGTAAATGACTCGCAAGTGCAAACAAAATTTAATTTAAGAGACGACCCCGCGGGTCAAACTGCCGTCGAAAGGTTCCCCCCTCCCTACCCCTGTTCGAACATTATGCAGGCATTCATTGCCGAAGCCACGACGACGCCAGTCAGGAAAAGTAAATGAGGAAATCTAAATGGAAATTTCAAATGTGTTTCAAATGGGCAGCAAATTACAACAACAACAGCGACAACAACAAACAATCCCAAAACCCCACCACACACACGCACCGATCGACAGAGTCGCACAGAAGGTTAGTGAGAGGGGCAGAGTGCGGGGGAAAGACTGTGAGAGTGAATGGGGATGTGTGGCTGTGTGTGTGGAAATGGGACAACGACGCGGCAGCAGAAACAGTTGCCTGTAAAAGCGTGCATGTGGCTCTGTGCGTGTGTGTGAGTGACTTGAAAACTTGCCAAAGGGTGTGTGCGTGAGTTTTGTGAAGACAAGAAGCAGAACGAAGAGCAGGCAGAAGAGGAAGGCGAACGGAGTGAGTAGGAGAGCAACAACAGAGGAAGCAGAACGGAGCAGAGCAGCAACAGCAAGAGGCACGTAGACGACAAAATGGAAAAACTTTACGCCTGCCATAAAAAAACAAAAAATGTAACTAAAACGGATAAAGTTGCTTTTACGACTGATGGATACCCTACGTTAACTCGAAATCCTGGTAATTCTCGCTTTAGTTTTGCATCTATTTGATTTATTTGAGAAGGCAGAAGTGCTGCTTTAGTGCACGCGAAATGTAATTCCACCAGTTCAACAGACTCCAAAATCAACCCCGATATGGATTAACAGACTCTGCTTGTGATGCTGATCGAAAACGTTATCTTGTTAACGAAAAGTACCTGGTACACACATAGACATAGTACATACAGAAACAAAACTGGAACACAATCCCCAATCATCCATCTATAAATTGTTGTGGAAAGTCATGAAATTCCCATTGGCACGTTTACAGGCATGGCATGGATCCACTTATCACTTTCTGACTTTCTGCTGCTGTTTCTGTTTTTGTTATTTGCTGTTCCGCCCTCTTTCGTGCTGTGTACGTATCAATTCCAACAAAAACATCCTTGGCGAACGAAATCATGAAGAAGGAAACGGACGGAGACGGAAACACATGCAAACAAAAGTTGTCGGTTGTTGTCTTCGTTTACGTTTTCGTCTCCCAGCTCCAATCCCCTCCGTTGCTGAGAGGAATGCGCGGCACTTGCTAAATATTTGCCAAACCACCAGACCGACCGCCCGCCAGTGCGCGCTCTTTCTTATCTTATCGGGTTGCTGCCTGAACGCTTTAATTGAAAATCATTCCAGTTCCAATTCCGACCTCCTTGCTAGTTACCTCCGTTCACACAGAGGGTCACACTGTTTCTTTTCACTTTCTGTTCCGTTTCTTGTTGGGTCCCACTATTTTATTTAGCTTTTGCTTTGCACTTTTTTGTTTTTATTTAGTGGCGGCGCTGCACTTGTTCAAATCAATTGAAGGGGCAGAACCATTCAATAACCAAAGAGCGGGAGAGAGAGCGAGATCGAAAAGACGGCACCACACACACACAAAACCACAATCACCACACAGCTTTTGCAAACAGTTATTAGGAGAGCTTTACGAAAAGCTTTTGTCGCTCAAGAGCAAAGAAATGTTCAAGAGAGCAAGCGCGAGCTCACACACGATCACAGAAATATACTTTTTACATATTTATTTTTTCATCTTATTCATGGTTAGATTTTTAATGGAATTGTATTGTTTTCAGTTTGTTTTCGCCGTGCCGTGCCTCTGCGGCACGCACTAGTATTCCGTTTACCGTTGCGTCTGCTTACTTTGCATGAATTCAATTAAATATAACTTAATTCCGTCTGCAGTTTCGGTTTCAGTGTTCAGTTTACAGTTCCACAGACTGAACCCGTCCTCACTCTATCAAAACTCGCGCACGAATGAGTAAGTCAAAGTCCTCGACGCAGGAAGTCGACTGCGCAGCGGCACACACACACACACACACACGGACTGGCCTCTGCCTCTGCCTCTGCCAGTCACGTCGTCTGCTCACACGGACACTCTGCGCCTGATAAGAGTGGCGGCGGCGGCCCTGGTTTGGCTGTCGTTCTAGGGGTGGGCGGCACGGCACGGCACTGTTCTGCTTGCCTGCGGCGGAGAGGAGATCACTTTACAGACCAGACAAAAAAAAGCAGTGGGAATACATGCGCTTATTTTTACACCCCCTTTGAAACACACAAACACACACACTGTCGCATAGGGGCAGAGGGAGACGGATTCAATTCATTTTCCACAATTGTAAGCACCTTTCTTTTTTTTTTTGTTATATATTTTCTCCTTTTGCTGACGCCTGCAGTTTTTTCCTTTCCTTTTCTTTTGTTTAATTTTAGTTTGTTTCTGCTTGGTTTTTTTGTGTTTCCAAATTTCCAAGTGGAAATTTTCACAACTCAGGCGGCGAGAGCAGCGTAAAAGAGAGAGGGAGAATGACGGCGAACAGGGAGAGCGGTGGAGGAGAGGGTGATGCGATCATACCGAACCGCGATCCGCACGAACGAAAAACGAAACGAAACACTTTTGCCGCACGTCAAATTTCGTCCGTCCCGGTTGAATCCAAAATGTGAATGAGCGATCCTCGGGCTCCCAAGCTCCAAACGACCACGTCCACGAACCGAACCAAGCGTCGTCGCTGTCGTCGTCGTCGTCATCGCTGTCGCTGCCCCACACACACACACCCATGCATCAGCAAACACACACGAATGCACACTCGTACAACATAGCCAACAATCCTACATCCGTCGAGGCAAGGCAGCGCTGCCAGCGCACTCACAAAAGGAATGAGCACACACACATAGCACAGTCACACGCTTACATTCACAGAAACAGGCATAGGGCTGGCGGCTGCCTGCTGTTGCTGCTGCTGATGACTTTGTAGACTTTTCGCTGGGTCCCGTCCCCAAGTCTACACGAAAAAAAACTGTTGCGGTTCTCTTGCTCACTCTCCTGCGCTGCGCTCTCTCACACCACAACACCACGATCTCTCACGCTGCTCTCCTCCGCTGTCGCCGCGCTGCTTGCGCCTTTGACTTTTTGAATTTTTAATTTCCTTTACACGCGATGACTAGAGAGAGGGGGCAAAAGAGGAAGGGGCAGGCAGGCATGGGTCTCGGTCTCGGGGCTGTTGCTGTTGCTGTTTTGAGTGAGGGACGGGCCAAGAGCGTTGACGAAACGGGGTTAAAATGAAAAACATGATGGGGGGGGAAAAAGCTAGGAAAAAACAACAGTAACAACAAATACAGCTTTTGGGTGCGCGCAGCAGCCTCGTTGATTCCATCTGTATGAGTGTACATGAGTGTGTGTAAGGGCATTAGGCGGCAGTTGGGTTGGGTTGGGCCTGGTTATTGGGGCTGGGCCACCCGACTGGGGCGCTGCCTTTTTTTCAAATTGGATTTTTCTCCGACATCAAACTTGCAGTTGGAGGAGGAAAAACATGTGGAAACTTGAGCCAGTCCCAGTCCCAGTCCCAGCGATCGGTACGTGTGTGTGTAAAGGAGCGCCAGACTGTATGTGTGTATGATGGGATTACGTAATCAACTGTAAATTCTACAAGTGGGAAGCGTCGTCGACGTCGGCGTCGTTTGCAATTGGAATCGAAGTCCTATGCACGAAGTGAGCTTTGGGGCAAAGTTCTGGTCTCTCTACACTTTACTTTATGTAGCTTTTATCCTCTACACCTTTGATGGGGTTTTGTTGTTGCATTGTTGTTTTTTTTTGTCTATTATTACTATCCCCTACCCCTACAACGGAAACGATCGTTTCGCCTAATAGGCTCTCACACACACACACCAGGTTAAATAGAGAGAGAGAGAGAGAGAGAGAGACAAATAGCGACAACTACAACAATAAGGTAGTCACTGAATCGTAAATTCCTGTTGCTAGTTCTGCCGCAGTCGCAGTCGCTGTCGCTGCCTCTGCTTCTGTTGTTGTTTGCCTTGCCCTATTGCGTGTTGTTGGTTGGTCGCTGCGCCTGTGTGCCGCTTTTCTATACCCATCAGCCTTGAGGGTATTCCTATTCCGACCAGATGGTTGGCAAAGGAAGCATTTTCCCGTCCAAAAAGTGTTACGATTTTAGATTCTAGATCAGCAACAGTTTAAAAGTAGAATTAGTCATGTCCTTCTGTACATTTTTCACTTTTTATGGCTTATAAAAAATACTCCGGTTAAAACTTTCAACAGATTTCCTGAATATTAATCATAACTGTAACCCTTTACCATTAACGGCTCATAGAAAACATCGAATCTTCAAGGGTATCTAAATCTTCGGACCCCGCCAGGGGCTAGCCTTCCTTTCTTGTTTTTTCTACTTTTGAGTGGCTTTTTGTGGAGCTTTGCCACGAACGATCGCTGGTGCTGCTGCTGTGGCTTCGGTGCGAATCCGATTCCGATGATTCCGACGACTGGGGCTGTGGGGCCGTGGTTGTGGCTTGGTGGTGGTGGCCATTGTTGTTAGTTTTGTTGCCGTTCGTTCTACTTAGTCGCTGGTCTAATACGGACAACATCTAACCACTCTATCTAAGCTCTATGACTTCCTCTCTGCACCACTCTCTACATGCACAGGCGGCTGCTGGCTGATGCTGCTTTTGCTCCTCTCCTGCTTGTAGTTTTTATCAGCAAAAAAAAAGAAGTTACAACAATAGATGCCCATGCCCATCCCCTGCCCATTCCACTGTGTATGTGAGTCTGTGGTAGTATTAAGTAAAACTGCGGAGGCTGGAAGTATAATCGGTGACAGGGGGGCTCCACAAATTAACGCCGCCGCCTGAA